GAACAATAAGTTGATTTATGCAAGAATAACACGAAAAAAAAATCACCCCACCTCCTTCCATAATGATGTCTTAATACCCACAATACCCACAATAATACCCACAATAATACCCACACACACCAAGAGGTCCTGCTTCACTGCGCATGCGCCGGCCGCCATTAGACCGAACACAGTCAGCGCTGCATAAAAGGTGACAAAAAACTACCAATTTCTCCCCTTAAATATCACATTTCTGGTGTTTATTTATAACCCAAAGATGCTTTAGAATCTACTGAAGGATATACTAAGAGGAAAAGACATGACTGGGTTTAGTACTCACGTAAATAAGGAAGAAACGTGTAGTGGTTTGGTATGAGGCTCTGGTAAACACTGAGAGTTGACTGGGTGGCAGCGCGGACCACTAGACACCACGTGACCTAACCCTGACCGCTGATTGGCCCATGATAGAGCACTACCCTACAGTGGTTGACCAATGGTTGGCACTATTTCCACACGTCATTCACTCTAGGTCAATTCTATAGGTCAAAAAAAAAGTAAATAAATAAACAATTATATAAAAAAATCATTAGTAAGTTATATTTATGAGTTATTAAAGTATTATTTTTATTTTTTGTTTAGGGAATTATATATAAATTTAGTTAATTATAAAATAACTATTGTTGTTTTGTACATATATTGTCATAATCAATACTTCATGTACACTGTATGCATTTAATGAGTATTTTAATCACCCATTGTTGAATTAGCATATTATTGACCATTGTTTATATACCTACATTAACTACGACCATGATAAGTTATTATAAACTTGTCTTAGAAGTTAATTAAAGAAAATATCCATAAAAATGTCTCCTAGGCCTAGATTAACTATTTCGTGGGCAGATAATTTCACTTACAACACCTCTTCTCTTTGTTCTTCTACCAGCACATTTAAATATCTTATTAATATTAAAATTATAAATATAACTTTTTAAATAGTAGACGTTATAATTACATTGATAAATTTATTGACATCTGGTTTTCGCGAACATTATCCTCCATTAAATTTAGCGGAAAATGCCATTATCGTTTTCCATTGCAAAATTTCTTCCATATTCCTTAAACAAATACATAATATTTCGTTAACATTTTCCTCAGATGTTATTACAGTAAGCATTTTAAAAGAGACGACATTTACTAGAACCTAACTTAGCCAACCAAAGAAACCTACCCTAACTTTCCCGGACCCCTTCCCGCCATAGTAAACAGATTACTTATTTTAATATCTAATGCCAGTAAAACCAACGTTGTTAAACCATCATAATGTAATTAATGTTATTTTTATGGACGGTAAATAATTTCTTCACATATAAAGGACATGGCGACAATTTTAGTGTTATTTGATCAGTTCTTCACCGTGTTTTATCCGGTAATTTCCCTCATCATCGTAAATATACAAAAAGAAAGAAAAACATTTATGAAAATATTTATAATTAACAGGTTGTCGCCCCTTATAAAATACTTAACTATAATGATAAGAACATTTATGGGGAAAAAATTAACCAAATCGAAAAACGCCTTCTGGTGGGAGTGGTGTTATCATACATTACCAAAGAACAATACACATAGATTAAAATAATAAATATGGATCATTGTAAAGTAATTTAATCGTCGGCGTTACTTAATTGGAAGGATACATCTAAAGTGCTATAGTAATGTTACCCCTCGAACGGTAAATCTTCAAAGAAAACGTGTACATGTTTTGTGGGATAACTAACATATATTTGTTACCCATATTTTAAGGTGAACGCGTGGGGACAGTGATGCTCCCCCATCCTGAGGCCTCGACTCCCCCATACTGAACCAGACTGAGGCCTCGACTCCCCCATCCTGAACCAGACTGAGGCCTCGACTCCCCCATACTGAACCAGACTGAGGCCTCGACTCCCCCATCCTGAACCAGACTGAGGCCTCGACTCCCCCATACTGAACCAGACTGAGGCCTCGACTCCCCCATCCTGAACCAGACTGAGGCCTCGACTCCCCCATACTGAACCAGACTGAGGCTCGACTCCACCATCCTGAACCAGACTGAGGCCTCGACTCCACCATCCTGAACCAGACTGAGGCCTCGACTCCCCTATACTAGACAGACTGAGGCCTCGACTCCTATACTGAACCAGACTGAGGCCTCGGCTCCACCATCCTAGAGGCCTCGACTCCACCATCCTGAACCAGACTGAGGCCTCGGCTCCCCCATACTGAACCAGACTGAGGCCTCGACTCCCCTATAATGAACCAGACTGGGGCCTCGACTCCCCCATACTGGGTCCACTGAGGCCTCGGCTCCCCATGCGAACCACTGAGGCCTCGACTCCCCATCCTGGGCCTCGACTCCCCCATACTGAACCAGACTGAGGCCTCGACTCCCCATACTGAACCACTGAGGCCTGCGACTCCCCATCCTGAGGCCTCGGCTCCCCAGACTGGGCCTCGACTCCCCCATCCTGAGCCTCGACTCCCCTAATCCTGAGGCCTCGACTCCCCCATACTGAGGCCTTCGACTCCCCCATCCTGAGGCCTCGACTCCCCCATACTGAGGCCTCGACTCCCCCATACTGAACCATCCTGAGGCCTCGACTCCCCTATAATGAACCATCACAACCTCACTTTATTAACAACATATAAACATTATTAATCAACCACAAAATAACAATAATAATTAACTTAATAAGCCTTAATTACTTAAAACTATCGCGGGAATTGTTTCAGTGTTCGAGACTTGCTCCAGTAGTGGGCGTGATTAGTAAACGAGGCGTTTGGACCATCAATTGGTTGTTGTGTTTGTTTATAATTGTTATTTATATGACTATAGACGAGAGATAAAAATAAACCATTATATACTTGGTTTAAGAAAAGTCCCCCGCCTGGAGTGCCGTCAACCCATCTGGTCCCCGAGGTTATGCTAGAGACTGTCGGTTGATTGAAAACGTCTAAAGGAGGACCACCAGACAGAACCTCAGTTACCCAGAGAGATTGGAGCGCCTGCAACTACCCAGCTTATACTACACACGGGCGACCTAATCAAAGAGTATAGGGCACACTACTGGGTTGAGTGTACATACCTGGAGCTGGCGGACGTCTGCCTCACAAGGGGTCACAGCTCAACCTTGAAGAAGCCACAAGTCCAGAAAACTGTGTACATAGACAGCGTAGGTATACAAACAATGGTAAACATAAGTTGATCAAACAAGGATAAACCAATAAAGACATAAACAGCTTCTTATCTCCTCTTGTACTAACACTATCTGTGTGTAATGGGAGAGGTGCTATACAATAGGATAGTTTACCCTCCAACATGTTACATTTTCTTTGGTGTCATTTAGAGGGGAAACTATCAACATCTACTGATTTCTTTGTATAATTCATATTGTACTTGTACTGCCTAAATAAACTGTTTTTATACCAAGTGCAAGTGATTCTGTCTACAGCAAGTGGATCTGTCTACAGCAAGTGATTCTGTCTACAGCAAGTGATTCTGTCTACAGCAAGTGATTCTGTCTACAGCAAGTGGATCTGTCTACAGCAAGTGATTCTGTCTACAGCAAGTGGATCTGTCTACAGCAAGTGGATCTGTCTACAGCAAGTGATTCTGTCTTCAGCAAGTGGATCTGTCTACAGCAAGTGGATCTGTCTACAGCAAGTGATTCTGTCTACAGCAAGTGATTCTGTCTACAGCAAGTGGATCTGTCTACAGCATCTGACAGCAAGGATCTGTCTACAGCAAGTGATTCTGTCTACAGCAAGTGATTCTGTCTACAGCAAGTGGATCTGTCTACAGCAAGTGATTCTGTCTACAGCAAGTGGATCTGTCTACAGCAAGTGATTCTGTCTACAGCAAGTGATTCTGTCTACAGCAAGTGGATCTGTCTACAGCAAGTGATTCTGTCTACAGCAAGTGGATCTGTCTACAGCAAGTGATTCTGTATACAGCAAGTGATTCTGTCTACAGCAAGTGATTGTCTACACCAAGTGATTCTGTCTACACCAAGTGATTGTCTACACCAAGTGATTCTGTCTACAACAAGTGATTCTGTCTACAGCAAGTGATTCTGTCTACAGCAAGTGATTCTGTCTACAGCAAGTGGATCTGTCTACAGCAAGTGGATCTGTCTACAGCAAGTGATTCTGTCTACAGCAAGTGATTCTGTATACACCAAGTGATTCTGTCTACAGCAAGTGATTGTCTACACCAAGTGATTCTGTCTACACCAAGTGATTGTCTACACCAAGTGATTCTGTCTACAACAAGTGATTCTGTCTACAACAAGTGATTCTGTCTACAGCAAGTGATTCTGTCTACAGCAAGTGGTTCTACATACAGCAAGTGATTCTGTCTACAGCAAGTGATTCTGTCTATAGCAGGTGATTCTGTCTACAGCAAGTGGTTCTGTCTACACCAAGTGATTCTGTCTACAGGTGATTCTGTCTACAGCAAGTGGTTCTACATACAGCAAGTGATTCTGTCTACAGCAAATGATTCTGTACACACCAAGTGATTCTGTCTACAGCAGGTGATTCTGTCTACAGCAATTGATTCTGTCTACACCAAGTGATTCTGTCTACAGGTGATTCTGTCTACAGCAAGTGACTCTGTCTACACCAAGTGATTCTGTGTACACCAAGTGACTCTGTCTACACCAAGTGATTCTGTGTACACCAAGTGATTCTGTCTACACCAATTGATTCTGTCTACAGGTGATTCTATCTACACCAAGTGATTCTGTCTACACTAAGTGATTCTGTGTACACCAAGTGATTCTGTGTACACCAAGTGACTGTCTACACCAAGTGATTCTGTGTACACCAAGTGACTGTCTACACCAATTGATTCTGTCTACAGGTGATTCTATCTACAAGTGATTTTCTAACTCCCACTGGCATATCAAATACAGAACCCAAGTCAAAACCTGTAATAAAACCATAACATAATTGTTAATGAAATATAAGAAACTAAATGATTACAAAAATCATGATAGTTTTATTCAACAGTACAAAAGTTACACCATAAACATTCATAAATACTTTTTCTGTACATATTATTATTATTATTATTATTATTATTATTATATATTTACAAGTTTTTGCATAGTGTACACATAAGACTGCAATATGGTCAGGTAATTATGAACGTACTGACAGCTGTAGTTTAGTCTGTGGTACGTACTGACAGCTGTAGTTTTGTCCGAGGTACGTACTGACAGCTGTAGTTTTGTCCGTGGTACATACTGACAGCTGTAGTTTTGTCCAAGGATAACACAAACATCTGTGATAGTTTTGTCCAAGGATCACACTGACCAATCACATTACACTTTATCACATTGTGACACCAACACACACACACACACACACACACACACACACACACACACACACACACACACCTCAAAATCATTCTTCTCCTACAAATAAATCCCAAATATATTAAGAGACTAAACAAATAACTATGGATAAATTGCAAACAAAATTGTACTTGTGTTATATTGGCGAAGGAGAAACCTGTCAACTAGGCAAAACAAACAAACCACATACCTCTAAGACGCAAACGACAACATTCAACCAACTAAATAGCCTTCGGTGGCGATAAAGACTCTCAGAGATAATTTGTAACCCAAGGTGATAATCGGATGAGGGACCGACGGGTTATTGGATTAAATATTGTAGATCGTAAATAAATGGAACACTTTCAGAAGACTTATGTCACTTTGGATAAGTTTAAGGATTTGAGGTTGGGTCAATAATGTGCTTATGATCGAAAGAAAGAAAATTGTAACCTGACTTTGTGGCGAATTGGTCGAGTATTTTGACGATTACTTTGGCGTAATCAAATGTTCAAAATTCAAGTTAAAAATCATCAAATACTTCCACTTAAGATTCATTCTGACATAAACAAATAATTTTAATATATAAATTCAAATTAACACAATCAAATGAGCTCCAACTAGATATCAATAAGGGTGTAAATATTCAGGTACTGTACACATGTCTACAATTTAATCACAATCAAGTTAAACAAAAATTAAAACAAGAATTATCAGTAGTTTCGTAAGGGTAATGGACGAAGAAAAACAAACAAACACCCAAGCTTTTTAAAACAAACCTGTAACTCTTATTTAAAACACCGTGAGTTAATCTCTTCCACGAGCTTATTCACCTAACGTAAATATCAATGAAGTTTGTTTTGGGGAAGTAATCGTAACTTAAAAACAAAAACAAATGAAAAATGTCTTCTTACTCGAACAGTTCATTCTCCTATCTCTCAGCGTCTGGTTATGGATCACATGAAGAATAGCCACCCCGGTTTATTTTATCCTGCGAATTAACTCCTTAGTGCTACCTATGGGGAGGGAGGGGAGGGAGGGGAGGGTGGGGAGGAGGTTGGGTAGGTGAGGTTAGTTTTGTTCAAGAGGGGTTAGATTAGATTAGGTTAGGATAAGTAAGGACAGGTTAGGTTAGGATGGGTAAAATTAGGTCAGGTCAGGTTAGGTTAGTTTAGTACAAGAGGGGTTAGATGAGGTTAGATTAGGTTGTTCAATCATCAAGCAAAATAAACTGGGGAGGCTGCCCTACACCTTATGTATATAATGAAACTAATGATGATGTGTTGATTCTGTGACGTCCACCGAACCCTAAAACATAATGTCTTTTTTTATAGCAGAAGCCAACTAACATTCTCTGCTAGATGGTTAGGTTTAGGTCAGGTTTAGGTTCGGTCGGGTCGGGTTTGGTTGGGTCGGGTTGGGTTGATAGGCACGACCTCTTTATCACATGACAAATATTTCCAAGAGAGTGTGAGAAGAGGACCCCAGTTTTAGATCCATAAAACAAGAGGTAAAAGCAAAAGATGATTAAAAGAGGAAGAATAAAAAGAGGCAGAGGAGAAGAAAAAAAAATGCGACAAATGAAACCACAAGATCGTTCATCAATCCTCTTTTGGCGGACATCAACCTCAAAAATCAACCAAATGAAACCACAAGATCGTTCATCAATCCTCTTTTGGCGGACATCAACCTCAAAAATCAACCAACATTTGATATACACATGAGTAGACTCTTACCGTCCTCCTCCTAGCTAGACAAACAAAAGCAACGGCCTGTCTCCGCGCTCGGCATAATCACTCACCGACACGAGGCCCGCCGACGGAAAACAAACGCATTCGTAAACTACATTTGTACTATAACATGGAACATATAACTGTAAACTGATGATTGGAAGGGAAAAACAAAGGTTACTCCACAGCCACAGTTGAACCCTTAAACAGAAGCTATCGTATTCTACTCTGCTCAGCTGATGGCCGTTGTCCCCACAGCCTCCGACGATGGCCGCTGTTTAAGGATTAACAGCCGATGGGCGAGTTACAAACAGGGATAAATATACATATATACACAATTGTATTCAGGAATTATTGATAACGTATGATGGCGGCGATCGGTGAAGCATAACCCCAGTGTTAACGAGTCTTAACCTGGCCCAGTGATCATCAGGACTTTATGGTTAGGTTAGGAGTCACTACAACTGGGTTACACCTCGCCCCACCTTATAAATCATGGTAATAAGTAACATATATAATATATTTGTATAAAACTCAAAAATGTACAGGTCTTTAACTCCGAAGTTTTCTCTGAGAATAAATTACCATAATAACAAACAATCCCAAAACATCTCTTGGATTGTAAACCTAACCTAAGCTAACCTAACCTAAGCTAACCTAACCTAAGCTAACCTAACCAATAATGTAAAGAACTTAATAAATGTCACCATATATGTAAAAGTATATCCACTCCAACATTATACAGTATAAACATATACAACATCGGTAACCCTATACAGGAAAGGAAAAATCTCGGGATTAACTCCAAGTAAACATACGTGTGAACTATACATAAACGCGTTACATCTATAATACACCCAAAAAAAACAACAAAAAAACATGAATAAACAGGGAAACAGTTTTCTTGATAAATTTCCATACACAAGTTGAGATCAATAGTGAGCGGCTACTGAGCGTCCTCAACACAGTGCGGGAAGAGGAGCGTAGGCGGGGGGTCATGACTTCGTGTGCGCCTTTACTACGCCATAGAGCAAATACATAACACAATTAGAGGGGACGGGGCTGGGGGAGGGGGTAGAAAAAAAAATATATACATCCTCCATCGTCACCTAAGACAGTTTTATCGCCAACAACGGCAAAATATCAGTTTATTACCGACGTCTCGTGTTAACAGAGTCCAGTAGTGAGATGGAGAGACGTGCGGACAGCTCAACTGCTTAATCCTGAGATCGACGCCGCACCTTTGGATACTGATACATATATATATATACAAGGTACTTAACTGTGTGTAAAATGAATAATAGTGAATGCCGGTTATTACATATAAAAACTTAAGAACTAAAGGTAAGTAGAAATATCATTGAAATCTTTCATAATTATCATCAAAATGCTGAGATTCCCACAAGACCTTACATGCCAGGTGTTATTAACGTCACATGAGGCATTATCCATCATCCTACCCCAGCCAGTGAAGACAAACTATTCACTATAAACAGAACTCAGTTTTACAATGAGCTTTAAACTGTGGGTAACATCCAACGGTAAAAAACAACAACAAAAACTGTGGGAAAAATCCTCAAATACTGTATACTATTTCTTTTTTGGCCAGTTTAAAAAATCTTACAAATTTTTACCTTAATTCCTGACTGGGAAATATGGGAGACAAATTTCTGTTTTTCCCCAGTGGTGCAGGAGAACTCTGTTGATGTGTCGAGCAGTTCCGTAAAAAATCACATTCTGAGTTTTGTAAATTCATAAACCCCAATTTGAACATCGGTGAACAAGATACATAACTGTACTGTACGTCTGGGAATAATTTTGAGATTCTTACTGTATACACGAAGAGTTTTAAACAATATGTCAGTACACACAACACACACAAAGTTCTGACATTTCTTTCTCATCAAAATTCAATTATAGTTTCCCTCTCATCTGCTCCTCGTGGCCGTACATATAAAGTTATAAAATACACCAAAACACATGAGCATTATATATCATTAACATTTATCAACTGGTTATAATACTAGTAAGGGAACAGTGTTTATTTATTTCCATCAAATACTATTATTTTGTGTAAAATATCTATATTGCTTCAGTTTTGGTTTAGATCCCGGCAAATAAAATACCAAAATCCCATGGGGTCGTCGAAATGGGCTGCGGGGATCCTAATTTACGACCGATCACAACCCGGGCAGTCTAGTTTCGACGACCCCTTGTGTACACTCTTAATACTCGTAGGGCAAATGTTTGTTGTGTCATTGACGTCGGCTCGTGTCGGTAACGGCTGCCACTACGTCCTGGAGCTGGGAGGCGAGCTGTAGATCACGTCTGGCTTGGGTTCGTCGGAAGGTGATGGGGCAGTCCACCGATATGCACTCGACGTCTTGTAAACGGCAGCCGAGGCAAGTTTCACATATCTGTAAGCGACGGAAGGTGAGTTATGCAGCACGTTATAAATCACAGACACACACACACAATAAACTTTTCAAAAAACACACATAGGGATTAATAAGAGCATCGTTTACACTCTATTCAGAACAGGAACACTCAGCCTTCGGCCCCCCACTCAGCTTTTATGATAAACGATTCAGTTATAACGGAACCCTCCCTCATTGCCAACCACTTCAATGACTATTTTATTATGTTGGCAAAAATTTTGCAGAGAGCATCCCTGATCACCATGATGAATTTAGAGCCAACCTGCAAAACAGACAGCAAAATGAACTATTCTTATCCCCTGTCACAGCAGATGAATTACTGGCCATCATAAAAATGTCCAAAGATGCAGCAGCAGGCCAAGACAATACACCAATGAGCATCATTAGAAAGTGGGCCACTTATTACTACCTGTTCTCCTCCACATTTGTAACTCCTCCTTCACTAGTGGTGTCTTTCCTGATAAACTGAAAATTGCTAAAGTCCACCCGGCATATAAAAAATCAGTCCTCCCACCCTTGAGTAAGATACTGGAAAAGTTAGCATTTAATACACTAAATTCCTTCTGCAATGCCAATAACACCTTTACAGACTCCCAGTTTGGATTTAGAGCTAGAAGGTTGACTGAGAGTGCTCTGCTATCCTTTACTAATGACATCTTAAATTCCTTTGATGACAATCAGTTCACAGTCGGTATATTCTTGGACCTCTCTAAAGCCTTCGATACTGTCGACCACACCATTCTCCTTTCAAAGCGTGAACATTATGGCGTAAGGGACCCGTCCCACAATTGGTTTACCTCATATCTGTCCAGCAGGATGCAGTATGTCTGTTATAATAACCACCAATCTGACTCCTTCCCAATCTTGTATGGAGTCCCCCCAAGGTTCAATTCTTGGTCCAGTACTGTTTTTGTTGTACATAAACAACATAGCCCACGCCAGCTCACTCATAAAATACAACTTATTTGCAGACGATAGTAATCTCTATGCCAGCAACTCAGACCTCCATTCCTTGATGAGAACTATGAACACTGAATTAACTAAAGTCGGGACCTGGGTAATACGTAATAAACTGACCTTAAACATTGAGAAAACCCACTACACACACATATATTTATATATATATATATATATATATATATATATATACAGTATATATATATATATATATATATATATATATACACATACATACATACATACATACATACATACATACATACATACATACATACATACATACATACATACATACATATATTATATATATATATATATATATATATATATATATATATATATATATATATATATACAATATATATATATATGTGTGTATATATGTATGTATAAATAAAAAAAAATAAAAAAATAAAAAAATAAAAAATAAAAATAATAAATAATAAAATAAATAAATATAGAAGTGATAACCGTGGTAACATGTTGTTATTACCATCATGCTGTTGTACTACTCCAGATGATACTAAATGTTACATAATACTTCCTTGAGATAAATGTATAGTATATATGAGGTGCAGCTCAGGTTCTCAACTGGCTCAGCCATGTAAATATTGTTATTATTATCCACTCTGTATCTGTATTTTTCTGGCTAAATAAACTGTTTCAATCAATGTTTCAATCAAACATTCCCAACAAAGGCGATTTCAAATTTCTGACTCATTTATTTATTTCAGCCTATTACTTTAAATATGAGACCATTATTTTTTTATTATTACTTCTCAACCATTATTTTTATTATATTTAATACCATTAGTTTTGTTTTTAGAGTAAAATAAGAACCATCTGACACGGTTACATTACTGAAATCCTGCAGAAAATGAAAGTAGTGACTTGGGTTAGATTAGTGTTAGGTTAAGTTAGAGTTAGGTTAGGTTAGGTTAGATTAGTGTTAGGTTAAGTTAGCATTATGTTAGGTTAGTGTTATGTTAAGTCAGTGTTACGCTAACTTAGTGTTAGGTTAGGTTAGTGTTAGGTTAAGTTAGTGTTAGGTTAAGTTAGCATTATGTTACGTTAGTGTTATGTTAAGTCAGTGTTACGCGAACTTAGTGTTAGTGTTAGGTTAGGTTTGTGTTACATTAAGTTAGTGTTAGGTTAAGTTAGCATTAGGGTGTTTAATCATCAGGTGAAATAAGTTAGGGTGGATATTCATGAGGCGATCCCAAAAGTCTTATGACACTGACCTTGTGGATGTGATTCACCGCTCTCTCATAGTTACGAATCTTTTCACTGAGATTGATAACCGTCAGTTGAGGATTAGTCTTACAGTCGACACACAGTCCACCGCCTTGGCCAGGTAACGTTGTGGCCGCCCCGCAAGACACGCAGGCAGATGGGGTGAAGTAACGTGCTATAGAGATATTACGGCCGCCGGTGTACATCCCCGCAGCGGTCGCACCTCCGTAAGTCCCCGCGGCCTCTACTGCCAGGGCGGTGGTGGCAGAAGAAGAGGGTCTTGGTAGGTCACTGTACCTAGAAGACAGCAGGAGTGTGTTTGAGGGAGACCAGTAGGTGTTCCCCTTGTAGAGAGATTATAGTGTTAAAGTATATCATCATCACCATCATCATCACCACTATCATCCCCCACAAGAACAACTCACCACACATTAACATCAACTCCCAAGAGAGAGAAGCATCTGTCCAGTGGGGGCAGGATGGCTCTGGTGATGTAGTACATGGAGTTGATGCGGAGGGCCGGGTTGGCCATTACCACGTCGGGCGAACGCACCAGCTGGATGAGAGGCAGCCCCGGAGCCCCGTACACGATCACGTACGGGACGCGTTGGCCCGATCGAGGCTCCTTTCGTCTGTCTCTGCGGAGCCACTGTCTGTGAGAGTCGATGAGTTAGGAGACGTAGATAGTGTGAATTATTTCCTCGCCGTGTGAAAGTTGATGTAAATAAAGTGACTTAATCCTCCTAGCTAGGACGATGTGAGGAAATGGAGAGACAGAGTGAGAGAGGGAGAGAGGGAGTGAGAGAAAGAGTGAGAGAGGGAGAGAGGGAGTGAGATATAGAGATGGAGAGTTAGAGAAAGAGTGAGAGAGTAAGAGAGGGAGAGAGAGATTGGGACAGAGAGGAAGAGAGAGAGAGTAAGATTGAGAAAGACACACAGAAAGACAAACAAAAAACACAATCCCTCACCTCGTCAGTTCCAGGGACGGCACACATGCTCCCGGCCTGTAGCCCCTGGCCCCCCTGTACTCCTTGGCGAACGTTAGGTCTTGGAGGGTTGCGCGGCCCTGGAGGAGCTTCAGGAACTGACGCTGTACGTACGCCTTCACCTGCGACACGTCCTTGCTCTCGAACAGCAGACGTAGCGACTTCTCCAGGATCTTAGGGGTTGATGGGAAATTATTTGTAGTTTTAATTATGTTGAAGATATATAATGATGTATGTTATATAACCCTGTCCTGTTAGACCAAATCTGAATCCAACAATAAGGACTGAAACTAATTACACCACTAACCTAACCTAACCAATACCCAACTTAACCTAACATAAGCCACCCATTCACCCATCCCCACACTAACCTACTGTACACCCCACAGAGACCCACCTAACCTAACCCGACCAAACCAAACCTACACCCCAATAGACTTCTCCCCCCCCCCAACAGAAGCACCTGACTGCCGACTCACCTTGGACACAGCTGGGCATCCATCCCTCCTCACTGTCTCAATACCCTTGGCGTCGAACTCGGGCTCTGTTTGGTCAGCAGTCTCGTACATGTGGCCGACGTATCGCTTCTTTGTCTGTAAGGGAACCAACGCGTTTATCTCTTGTTGTTGACGGGGATTTAACTACAAAAATCTGTCATCATCATCATCATCATCATTATTATCATTATCATCATACACTCACCTGTAAAATACAAGGTAAATACACCTTCTCGAACCTAAGCTTGATTGGTTTGGGATACATCTGGGTGACCTGGTGAGCGATCTCGTAACCAATCTTAAACGCCTGTTCCTTCGTCCTCCCCGGCAGGTGCACGAAGAGCGAGTCCGTGTCCCCGTAGACGACCTTCGCGTCCCACGATGGATGGGAGTTAACGAGCTGGATGCTTCGTTCTAGTGTCTCCCGACCTTTACTCACGACGCTGTCTCCGATCTGTAATGACCTCGGCCACTGAATTATATCACATTACAGAACGACGACTAATTATAAAACATCTGACTGGTAAATATAAAACACCTGACTGGTAACTTTAAAACACCTGACTGGTAACCATAAAACACCTGTCTAATTAACCACCATTACCCGAGTCCTCTAAATGCATCATTCTAGACATCTACTCGAGCTTTTATTTACGACACAACCTCTTCAGCTTTTATTTACATCTCAACCTCTACACCCCCTCACCTCAGGACACGGCATACGACCGGAGAAGTTGGCGCTGGTGTAGCCGTACGTGACGTTAGCGATGAGTTTCAGCCCCAGCTGTCGGGAGTGTAGGACGCGCTGTAAGGACGAGTCGTTCTTGTACACCTTCATCATGCGTTTCACCATGAGCCGAGTGTTGAGAATCTCCTCCAGCATCCTGGGAAGGACGCCGTGTCTCACTCTACGTGGGACGAACGCCACACCACAGGGCGACACGTTCATCTGGGGGTGGGGGAGGGTGAAGGGGCGGAACGAATAATAAACATCTACTTACAATATAACGTACTTAAATCACTTATGCTGCACATGAGTGTACTTAGAATATTTAATTTCACTTTTATAGCAAACACACACACACACACACGTTACTTACCTCATCAACACACTCGGCAATTTCCTTGGGGTTTAGGTGCAAATAAGTCGCTCCAAACTCTATGGGTTGGGGGCTGTCGACCAGATTGACGCGGCCGAGGCAGGTCGAGTAACAGTAGTTGTAGGCGATCATTATGGAGGGGTAGAGGCTCTGGAAGTCCAATACTACCACTGGGTCTGTGTAGAATCTGCGAGAGCAATAGACAGAGTAGTAATAATAATGGTACAACAAATACCTCTACTACTACTAATAATAAAACTAATAATACAATAATAATAATAATAATAATAATAATAATAATAAATAATCCTGTAATAATAACAAATAAATAAATATAAAAACAGTGCGAGAACAACAACAACTAATCTACGTTCCTTAATTCCGGCCACTCTACCCTACACTTAAAGGCGGGACGAACGAGGAAAACAACACGCTCTCTCTCGTCTTGACAAACCTCGATTGCGGCTCCATGGTGAGAGCAATCCACTCGGGCGCTTTCATGGCTCCTCTCTGCTGGATGCTGGGTGATATGGAAACCATGTTGGAGCCCCGGGCCAGTCGGAGCATCATCGACTCAACTCGGTACTGGAAGGTAAACGTTTAGGGGTGTCAACTCGATGAAAAATATACCAAATGATATAATAGAAAGAGAATTTGTACCAGAACAAGACAGATGATGAAAGAGCTCGGTTAAGACTCGGTTAAGGTTCGGTTAAGCTTCTGACCTGAGTCCCACGCGACAGCACATCGTAGAACTGGATGCCAAACAGTCTGGCCAGTTCAGCCGTTCGGTGAATCAGGTCAAGTCGGTGGAGAAGATCGATGGTATAGTGACACCGATTGAGGTAATGTTCCAGAGTGCGCCACCTTGAGGGAGAGAGAGGAGGTCAAAATTCAACCTGGTATATTTCAGCTCTTTCCAAAAAAAACTAAATTAACCTATTATTCGTTTTTTATTTAAAGTATCATTATGGGAGGTTGATTTGGTCTTTGTTATGTACAGGAGGGAACTACTGTAGCACCCAGAGACAACCTGCATTTGGTAGTGAGGGTCATATTGGATTACCACCTCTTCTCATATCTGTCCTGGGCCAATGTGTGAACCCAGGACACAGTAGTGAGTATGTATTTTACCACTGTACCACCAACACCACTATTCCTATCTTGTGTGTGGTACAGAGATCTTCCCTGATATTTCATACTAAGAAACATACTGTAATTATAAATATATGTCTTAACTGGTAAAAGAAAAAATCAATTGTCAAAACTCACTTCAAAATAAAATAAAATTATCCAACGGTGAATAAAAAGAAGTCAAATTTGAATACTAATAATACTACTACTAATAATAATGTAATAATACTTTCCACATTTAATCAATTCTCTCTCTGACACACACACACACACACACACACACACACACACACACACACACACACACACACACACACACACACACCATCCTAACCTAACCTATAAGCTGTGAGGTTTTACACATCGTCAAACAGAAGGAAAAAATTAAATAACTTTCTTCATGTTGTATTTACCTAGTAGTGTCCTGGGTCCACCATTGTCTGAGTGTGTCGTGGGAGAAGGAGGGAACTCGGGTGTGCAGGACGTGGTATGCAACATTATCCAGCGTGTAGCTCAGCAGTGTAACCTAAAACACATGTATAAATTGACCTGTGTACAATGACTCTCAAATGGGTTCCTAATAGCAGAAATTTAACCATTAATACCCATTAAATTAAGGGCCTTCTGAGGTCTAGGGGCCCATTATGGACTGAGGGCCATGATTAATGGGCCCCAAATGGTGAGGTTAGGTTGTCTAGGGGCCCATTATGGACTGAGGGCCACAATTAACGGGCCCCAAATGGTTAGGTTAGGTTATGTAGCTATCAAGCCGTGGGTCCATTTGACTGATCAATGTACACATGATAACTGCCAGTGCTATAGGTGATAACAGGGTGAGTCAGAAGTATTTACACAGCAGATACAGGGTGAGTCAAGAAATATGCAAGCCAAAGAATACCACAATGAGGACACACTACAGCATAGAGGGAGGGAGAGAGGGAGAGAGGGAGGGAGGAGACAGAGAGAGGAAGGAAGGAAGGGAGAGAGGAGGAGGGAGAGGGAGGGAGGGAGAGAGGAGGAGGGAGGGGAGGGAGGGAGGAGGGAGGGAGGGAGGGAGGGAGGAGGAGGGAGGGAGGGGAGGAGGGAGAGGGAAGATAGAGAGGATGGGAGAGAGGAGGGAGAGGAAGAGAGAGGAAAGGAGAGACAGAGAGAGGTAAAGAGAACACTAGTTACCTCAGACCTCATCAGCCTCCACACGTTAAGGACTATCCTGCCCGTCATGTGTATCTGGGAGGTCTGGTCGGCCCCGTACTCGTCCAGCTCCTCGTCGTGGTGGCTGGCGGTGCCCTCGGGGACCCTAGAGAGACGCGACACCATCTCCAACCCCAGGGCCACTCCCCTCTCCAGCACGTAGCCCCACGACGACATTTGCACCTTGGGGAGAATCGATGGGGGGAGGGGGAGGGGATTACTTTGTTATTGATAGATGGACTATACTAAATATAACACGTAGGTCTTCAAGTAGTATGTGATATGAATAATAAATGTGGACGTTATATTTCAGGTCGTCAGGTATAATCAACTGTGTATGGGGGTTCCCTCTGGGTGAATCAAATCATCTGCTGTCAGCACCCCCATAAAATATTAAAACTCCCCATAGTTACTTTACACCCCATAACCTTCGGCTCACCTCATAACCCACGAGCATATCGGGGTCCCAGGTACTAACGAGCCCGACGGTCTCCTCAAGAAGGCTCGTCTCGTCGTCCACGTGAAGCACGGACAGATCCGTCATACCTGTCCTCGTTACCAGATCACACCTGCCGTTGCTCACTAGGATCGCACCTGTTAGCAGAAGGAAGAGTTAATTAGCATCAGGTGTACTCATGGGATGTTGTCGATGGATCACATGTCGATTTGGCACCCCAGCTTGTGTACACCTTATTAAATATCCTCGTGCTGTATTGAGGGGTTAGGGTTAGGTTAGGATTCTTACCAGGACAATCCTCAACCTAACCTAACCTACCCTCAGCTAACCCAACCCAAACCTAATCCAACTCCAACCTAACCCAACCCAATCCAACTCAACCCTAACCTAACCTAACCTAACCTCACCTTTAAGCCTCTGAGGAGTCGGGTGAGAGGCTGGCACGTCTTGAATGATGGTGAAGACGATGGCAGAGATAGGATCCAGCACGGGGTCGGGTAAGAGTTGCGGTCTTGTTGTAACGTGACACTCGATGCACATTACGGTGAGGAACTCGTGCTGTGGGGGGGGGGGAGAGATCAGGCGTAAATCAGTAATGGTGGCACGATCGTCGATTTATTCAAGACGCAAGTTCTTTCGTTCAATCATGCTATGAACTGACAGTGAATCATATACAAGTTCGTTCAATCTTGCTATGAACTGACAGTGAATCATGTAGACAAGTTCGTTCAATCTTGCTATGAACTGACAGTAAATCAAATAGACAAGTTCATTCAATCACACTATGAACTGACAGTGAATCATATAGACAAGTTCGTTCAATCTTGCTATGAACTGACAGTGAATCATATAGTTCGTTCAATCTTGCTATGAACTGACAGTGAATCATGTAGATGTCTGCTCAATCTTGCTATGAATCATTGTGAATGTAGACAAGTTCTGCTCATCTTAAGTGAACTGACAGTGAATCATATAGACAAGTTCGTTCAATCTTGCTATGAACTGACAGTGAATCATACTGACATAAATTAACCCAATCCTCTTGTATCTATAATTCCTATCATTTTTCTCTTTATTCATCCTATGATAAAAGTAACTTAATTTATATAGTTTTAATTCTATATAATCCTCTCTTAATTTTTTACAGACAGCAAGAACACACCAGATAAGTCCTTAAGAGTCAGAATAAGTCCTTAAGAGTCAGAATAAGTCCTTAAAGAGTCAGAATAAGTCCTTAAGAGTCAGAATAAGTCCTTAAAGAGTCAGAATAAGTCCTTAAGAGTCAGAATAAGTCCTTAAAGAGTCAGAATAAGTCCTTAAAGAGTCAGAATAAGTCCTTAAAGAGTCAGAATAAGTCCTTAAGAGTCAGAATAAGTCCTTAAAGAGTCAGAATAAGTCCTTAAAGAGTCAGAATAAGTCCTTAAAGAGTCAGAATAAGTCCTTAAAGAGTCAGAATAAGTCCTTAAGAGTCAAAATAAGTCCTTAAGAGTCAGACTAAGTCCTTAAGAGTCAGAATGTCTTAAGAGTCAGAATAAGTCCCAAGAGTTGAATAAGTCCTTAAGAGTCAGAATAAGTCCTTAAGAGTCAGAATAAGTCCTTAAAGAGTCAGAATAAGTCCTTAAAGAGTCAGAATAAGCCTAAAGAGTCAGAATAGTCTTAAGAGTCAGAATAAGTCCTAAAGAGTCAGAATAAGTCCTTAAGAGTCAGAATAAGTCCTTAAGAGTCAGAATAAGTCCTTAAAGAGTCAGAATAAGTCCTTAAGAGTCAGAATAAGTCCTTAAACAGTCAGAATAAGTCCTAAGAGTCAGAACAGTCTTAAAGAGTCAGAATAAGTCCTTAAGAGTCAGAATAAGTCCTTAAAGAGTCAGAATAAGTCCTTAAAGAGTCAGAATAAGTCCTAAGAGTCAGAATAAGTCCCAGAGTCAGAATAAGTCCTTAAGAGTCAGAATAAGTCCTTAAAGAGTCAGAATAAGTCCTAAAGAGTCAGAATAAGTCCTAAGAGTCAGAATAAGTCCTTAAAGAGTCAGAATAAGTCTCTTAAGAGTCAGAATAAGTCCTTAAGAGTCAGAATAAGTCCTTAAGAGTCAGAATAAGTCCTTAAGAGTCAGAATAAGTCCTTAAGAGTCAGAATAAGTCCTTAAGAGACAGAATAAGTCCTTAAAGAGTCAGAATAAGTCCTTAAAGAGTCAGAATAAGTCCTTAAGAGTCAGAATAAGTCCTTAAAGAGTCAGAATAAGTCCTTAAAGAGTCAGAATAAGTCCTTAAAGAGTCAGAATAAGTCCTTAAAGAGTCAGAATAAGTCCTTAAGAGTCAGAATAAGTCCTTAAGAGTCAGAATAAGTCCTTAAGAGTCAGAATAAGTCCTTAAAGAGACAGAATAAGTCCTTAAAGAGTCAGAATAAGTCCTTAAAGAGTCAGAATAAGTCCTTAAGAGTCAGAATAAGTCCTTAAAGAGTCAGAATAAGTCCTTAAAGAGTCAGAATAAGTCCTTAAAGAGTCAGAATAAGTCCTTAAAGAGTCAGAATAAGTCCTTAAGAGTCAGACTAAACAAAACAAAGGCTAGGATTTGTTATGATTCACACCCGGAAGGAAAGCAAAAGCAGGTTGTCTATGTGTAGTCCTTATCCACCAATCCACTGATTCATTATGGTTGTAATTATTCTTATAAACCATTTCATGTCTTTTTCCTATTTTTTTTTATTTACGTTTCTCTATCCATATCTTTTATCTTCTATGCTTATTCCTTTTCTTCCACCTATCATCTATGGCTTATACCCTCTCTTTATTGGTCTTTCTCTTCTATATATTCTCTCTCAATCCCACAAAAGACTCGTTCTATATATCAAGAGAATATAGTAAATCTCCTGATAATGAACTATATGAGAGAGGGTAGGCTGTTATATATGAAACCTCCATATAATGAACTACTGTATAATGTAAGAGGTTAGTCCATTACGTCGAAGTTTATTATAAGGAGGTTTAGCTGTCCTGTAAACACAAAAGCCGGGAAAGTTGGTCTAGGGTCGAGGTCACGAGTTCAGTCCTGTCGTAAATATTCTTAAAAATGACAAACTGAATCGGGTATTGAACGTGTATGAAACAGTGGAAGGTGTCTGGCTGGTGTTAGGTGACCTTTAGTGGGTTAACTATCCATCGTTGGGTCAATCATGTAAGCAGATGTCACATGCCAAGCTCGTTAGGATGATTAACGGCTGTTTGACGGGTGATGTAGCAAATGGGCCCCTAACTTAAACCTGACCTGACCTGGCTTAACCTAACTAGGCCTAACTTAACCTGACCTAACTTGACCTACCCATCAGCACCACCACCACCCCCACTACTACCACCACCACCACCACCATCACTACCACCACCACCACTATCACCACCACCACCACCACCCCCACTACTACCACCACCACCACCACCATCACTACCACCACCACCACTATCACCACCACCACTATCACCATCATCTCAACTTTGAATAACACCTGAAATATGACATAACACCTTAACGAACTAATCATCATCCCTACTGGCAGATATTTCAGACAAACTTATGGAAATAAATACAAGCACCCACACAGACCCACAAGCACCCACACAGACCCACAAACACCCACACAGACCCACAAGCACCCACACAGACCCACAAGCACCCACACACAGACCCACAAGCACCCACACAGACCCACAAGCACCCACACACCCACAAGCACCCACACAGACCCACACCACACAGACACAAGCACCCACACAGACCCACAACACCCACACAGACCCACAAGCACCCACACAGACCCACAAGCACCCACACAGACCCACAAGCACCCACACACAGACCCACAAGCACCCACACAGACCCACACAGCACCCACACAGACCCACACGACCCACACAGACCCACAAGCACCCACACAGACCCACAAGCACCCACACAGACCCACAAACACCCACACAGACCCACAAGCACCCACACAGACCCACAAGCACCCACACACACACACCCACAACAGATAAAGTCACAAAACAAATGTCAAAAAAGTTAAATTTCACTATAAATTAACTAGAGCTGATCCATATACCACTAATGTTAAATTTGGTGGTTAATATAGAGACACAAAACTAAAACACTGTAAGGTATTAGAAGTTATAGGCCTACCTCAGAGCACCATAATTATACTCCTGAGGTGATATAATCCTTTTAATAATATATACCATGAACTTATAGGCCTATCCCATAATACCATGAGCCTTTAGGCCTACCCCCAAATTATAGAACTGTGTTATAGGCCTATCCCTATCATGCAGGTAATTCTCACACATAAAAACAGGACTTGGTAAATTTGGCAAAAGGTGGACAAGCTTACTGACTTTATTAAAGCTTACCCAGTACCAGGGATAGTGAACAAGCTTACCCAGTTCCAGGGATAGTGAACAAGCTTACCCAGTAACAGGGATAGTGAACAAGCTTACCCAGTACCAGGAATAGTGTACAAGCTTACCTAGTACCAGGAATAGTGTACAAGCTTACCCAGTAACAGGGATAGTGAACAAGCTTACCCAGTACCAGGAATAGTGTACAAGCTTACCTAGTACCAGGAATAGTGTACAAGCTTACCCAGTACCAGGGATAGTGAACAAGCTTACCCAGTACCAGGGATAGTGAGCAAGCTTACCCAGTACCAGGGATAGTGAACAAGCTTACCAAGTACCAGGGATAGTGTACAAGCTTACCCAGTACCAGGGATCAAGCTTACCCAGTACCAGGAATAGTGTACTGCTTACCTAGTACCAGGAATATGTACAAGCTTACCCAGTACCAGGATAGTGAACTGCTTACCCAGCACCAGGATATGCAAGCTTACCTAGGCCAGGAATAGTGTACAAGCTACCTAGTACCAGGATGTGTACAAGCTTTCCCAGTACCAGGATCAAGCTTACTCAGTACCAGGGATCGCTTATCTAGTACAAGGTGATCACAAGTAGAGTTTAAATATTTTAGGGTGATTATTTAAAGAGTTGTGAGGGAGGGAGAGAGAGAGGGAGAGAGAGGGAGGGAAGGAGGGAAGGAGGGAAAGGAGGAGAGGGGAAGGGGGGAGAGGGAGGGAAGGAGGGAAGGAGGGAAAGGAGGAGAGAGGGAAGGGGGAGAGGGAAGGGGGGAGAGGGAAGGGGGGAGAGAGGGAAGGGGGAGATAGGAAGGGGGAGAGGGAAGGGGGTAGAGGAGGGAAGGGGAGAGAGGGAGAGGGGAGAGAGGGGAGGGAGGGAAGGGGAGGAGAGAGGAAGGGGGAGAGAGGGAAGGGGGAGAGAGGGAAGGGGGGGAGAGAGGGAAGGGGGGGAGAGAGGGAGAGAGGGAAGGGGGGAGAGAGGGGGAGGGAGGGGAGGAGGGAGAGAGGAAGGGAAGGAGGGAGGGAGGGAGGAAGGAAGGAAGTGAAGCCAACACCAACAATAAAAACTAAATGCTCTGCTCCTCTCTTACCTCTATGAGTGAATCTGAAAAAACACAGGTACCATTGATCAGTCAACATACCACCACATGACTAAAATTACTCCACATACACGCACATATTATATCCTCATGCTGATAACCACATAGGTGTGAAATAAAACACCAAATTCCTATGTGGTTAAGAGCATAGCATCACACACACACTTATAGTGATATATTTTTATTATTTTTTTATTATTTATTCTAATATTCGTAAAAAAATGGCATAAAATATATATATATGTGATCTTAAATTACGGGAAAATATATTTAATTTTTTTTTCTCTAGTCTATGAGTCTGGGTCTAGTGTGGCTTGTTGTTTAATATATGAGGTGGAGGGAAGGGGGGGAGGGGTTGGTTTTACATGTATCTGAGCCCCCCCCCCTCTCTCTCTCTCTCTCACTTAACAATGGTGGAATAAAAATTTTACACGATCCCTGACAGTTGGTGGATGAGTGTGGCAGGCTGGGGAGCTTGGCCGCTGGAGCCGTCAGCTGAGGCGGGAAATATGAAGTTGTTCGCAGTAGTATTTTTCCCGCCTCTGCTGACGGCCGTGTATATATTTTTATGTGATTCTGATCTCTTAAAATGTTAGTTTTTGCATAATGTAGTGCTGTACTGTACGCTTTATGGTGAGTAACAATAAGAATATATTAAATGTGTCTTCCGAAAGCGTCAATCTGCTACCAGAGTTTAACAGTTAATTCACGTATAATACTTCTGATAAACGTCCTACGTGCTTATGTTTGAAATAACGAATGTTTGTATCTTTATATAATTTAGTTTAATATATTTCTCGTCAGAAACGGTCATCCCAACGATTATTAATAAACTCATTTAGAAATACATCATTATTTCAGGACTAAATCGGAGAGATTTGCAACAGCCAATCAGCTGTAACTCTTGAGGAGGGGGCGGGGCATCTCTTCTCAGCTGGGATATACCGCACTATAATGTACCTTACCTATAATATTTCCTGCATCTATGACATGTAAACTTAATTGTTCTTTGTTCGGAGTCGACGTAATATTTGCCATACGGTAAAACACACAAGCTATCATTCTCTATCCTATCAATCCTAGGGTTGGGTTGGGTTAGGTTAGGTTGAGAAGGTTAGGCTAGGTTAGGGTAGGGTAGGAAAGGTAAGGTAAGGTAAGGTAAGGTAAGGTAAGGTAAGGTAAGGTAAGGTAAGGTAAGGTAAGGTAAAGTAAAGTAAGGAAAGATAAGGTGAGGTGAGGTGAAGTGAGGTTAGGTGAGGTAGGAAGCAACACCTGATACTCACCTCATGCAGAGCCTTGGCCTCATACAGGTTGTGGTTGGAGAACTTAAAGCCAAATGTGTTGTTGAGAGACGGTCCATCTATTGACTGTGAGGGAGGAGAGAGAGGGACCATCATTATAACAGTGATGATGATGATGATGATGATGATGATGATGATGATGATGATGATGATGATGATGACAACAATAATAACAACAATACCAAAACAGCCACATTATCCGCCACCCACCTGCGAAAACGACCTCTGGCCTTGGGAGAAGCTCAGGAACTGCTGTCGGAACTGGGTGTTCATCAGCTGGCGTCGGAGGGAGGCGTCGCTGCTGGACGGCTGGCTGCTGCTTATCTGTCGACACCATTGAACGCACTGTACTGTACCGTCATAAATTACATTATAAGGTGTAACCTCTGTATAGCGGATTGATCGTTCCATATATTTCGTTTGATGGGGGTTTGTACGGCTAACGACCCTCGATATAATGGACTTTCATCTCCATATAGTCCATTAAATAGAGGTTTCACTGTACAGTATTAGGTTAACTTTACATACACTCTACTGTACTAGCTCTAATATTTATAAACATTTTCACTATATTAATGTCTCACAGTATGGTAGTTCAAACACCCATAAACACAAGGTTTTCGAGAAGTTTTTGTCCACAATATATAATATAGTGTTACAGTGTACATAGTGTTACAGTGTACATATTGTTACAGTGTACATGTTGTTACAGTGTACATAGTGTTACAGTGTACATAGTGTTACAATTCCCAATGTCTGTTTCATGTGTGTGTGTAAAACTTGTTATCAAAGTAAACATCCGTTGAGAGGATTTCCGCAAAGTGTTAAGAGTACTGTATTGGTATAGGCCCCCATAGTGTACTTCCATCCCACCGTGTGTGTGTGTGTGTGTGTGTGTGTGTGTGTGTGTGTGTGTGTGTGTGTGTGTGTGTCACTCTAAGAACAACAAACTCTCCCCTTAACCTGACCTGACCTGACCTGACCACCTAAATAAAACTCACCCTGGACGTTAATGAGAGAGTGACGGGTGACGGCAGGGGTTGGGTGGCGTCAACGTAGCTGTCGTCGTCGTCCTTCGTTATTTCCGACGGTTTGGGGCGATTCTTCTCTCCGTATCCGATATCTAAATCCAAGAGAGAGAGAGAATTAATATCCAGTGCAGGGTAAATATTCATGCACTTGGTACTTGTTCGTTAGTCATTGCAATTCGCTTTAAATCAATGTTAAATCGAGTATTAAATAGTTTTATATAAGCAGATATATTAAATTCTGTCGATCGTACGTACAGTCATTGAAATAAGTCCTTTTAAGTCCAACGTCTCATCTGTGAACCCCTGAAGCCAAGACAACATACAGTGCACCAGCCAGAGACCCAACAATGTGTGGTGTTTCGGATTCAGAGGTTCATGTCTCGGATTCAGAGGTTCATGTCTCGGATTCAGAGGTTCATGTCTCGGATTCAGAGGTTCATGTCTCGGATTCAGAGGTTCATGTCTCGGATTCAGAGGTTCATGTCTCGGATTCAGAGGTTCATGTCTCGGATTCAGAGGTTCACGAGTCTCAGGGTTCATTGTTTTTTTTCCATGACTTTACATTTAATTAAGTGATGATCAGAGTATTGTGATTTCTCGCTGTAAAGTCCTATGGTAGTTATTAAATGCAAGACAATTACTCTCATTATTTCACCTCTTAACTTATTTTTTGTTAGTAATTTAATTCTATATTTGTATTTTATGAAGCAACAATCTATGGGTAAATATAAGACAATATATAAAAAGTTTAGGTTAAGGAACTGATAGTAAGAAAATGATGACTCAAACCCCATGATAGAAAGTAGGAACATTGGCCAAACCTCTGAGACCAATCATAATTTTACCCTTTAGAGATCACCTGATGACTACCCCTTCTTCCCTCCCCCTTCAAGCTCATCTGAAGGTCACCCCTTAGTTTAACCTTCCTGAAATTATCTGGTGTTTAAACTTCAAGCGATCGACAGAGGTTAAAATAGTGAATGGGGCATTGGTGGACGACATTGGTGATAGAAAGTAGTTTGTGTGTTACCTTGATCACGGCCTCCAGAGGTGGACGCCGGCGGAGGGGGAGGAGCAGTTTCTGGATCTTTTTCTTTGAGCTTCTTACGTGTAGGTCCCTCGGGGTCTTCCTGCTCGTCCGCTGCACGGCTCCCCGAAGGTGCCTCCTCTCCTTCCGCTGCTGCCGAGGGCTTTAATGCTAACCCCTCGAAGGATACTCTCCTCTTTGAGTATAACTTCCTCTCGGGGGTCGGCTCATCTTCCGATTCTTCGTCGAGAGGAGCGAGACCCTCATAGGACGCTCTCCTCTTCTTGGAAATAACTGGGGAGATTTTAGCCCTCGATTCCTCTCCTTCCCACGACACTCTCCGCTTCGTCCCGCTTCTCCGAGGCCGCGACGAGGAGACCGGAGTCGTCCCGTCTTCCGTAGCGCCGGGGCTCGCGACGCGTCCTATTGGCGTGAGGTGTAACACATCCAGAGTGGAGTGTTTCTTGGGTTGTGGGGTACTGGTCTTCAGCAGGTGGTCGCCGGCGGATCCTGCCGACCGAGAACGACTCTGTCCGCCGGAGGAGTCTCTGTGTGTACCTTTATCTTGGCTGGGCGTCGTGGCGGAGGTCTTGGAGGCGTGGCCTTTACTGCCACACGTTATGTTCTTTTGTCCTTTCCACGACGAGGGAGGACCGCCGTCGTCTTCGTCCTTCCCGTCGCGGTCCTTCTTTATGGCCTCCAGTATCTTACGAGCCTTGGTCCACTTGATGACTTCCTCGGGTGAAGGCGGCGGCTTGACCGGCGTTAACACACAATATTTGGTTTTTTCTCGGTTATCCAGAATGGAAGATTGGCGACTCGCCGGTACGTTCGCCTCTGAACTCAAGGTGCTGAGCAACAGCCGCCAGTTGTATAAACCGTCCTCTTGAAAACGTCCCTCAAAATCTTCCAAATCTGACGTAACTCTCGATTTCAGCTTCAAAACCTGACCTCCGACTTCCACCGGCTTGGCGGGAACGTCGCCTGGCTTGCTGCAAAATGCAGGAGGATGAGCGACTTCTGGGATGTTATAGCAGCCCAGGGTGGAGACTATCGTGTCGTAGGTGGGCGGCGGAGGAACGTACATGAGGGTCTTACTGCTGCCTTGACTAGATCCGGGTTTTGGCGGCTTGGTCTTCTGCTTCCCGGCTTCGTTCTTAGACGGCGCCTGTCTCTGGCTCTTGGACGGTGCTCCTCCCTTTCCCGACTTCTGGCTCTGGTTCCCCCGGTTACCGTCGTTGCTGCCCTGTTCTCTATAAAACCCCGGGGTGATCTTGTCCGCTGTGTGGGTCGGCAGCGTGTAGGGACCGGTAACGGCCGCCGGACACGACGACGGTACAACTGACGTGCTCACCGGCATAGACGATGACAATGAACCTACCGGAGGACTCGACTGAAAATCCTTATCCATTTGGGGGGACGTTGAAGAAATTTCCCCCTCGCTATCTGTTGACTGGTTGCTGGCCAGAGGCAAGTTTTTTGGCGGCAACGGCACGTATTCCTCGTCGCGCTCGACCGCCAGGGTAGTCCTCGAGTGTGACTCCCATATCCCGCTCGGTATGTATTCCGGCGTCGGTTTGTCGAGGCCGATAGGACGGGGGCTGTACTCGTCCTCCCCATCCACGTTACTAGTCGGTAGATACACGGGCTTGGGTATGTATTCCTTCACAATGTTTTCCGTTGAGAGTGGCTTGGGTACGTACACATCAGGTGGGCTGTTCACCTCCTCTGATTCATCACTGCTTTGTTGCTTGTTCTGAAGATTAACGCCACTGCTGTTATCATTCTCGGCCAAAACAGAACTTTGTACGGAGTAGGGTTCATATTCAGGCCTTGTGGACCCTTTATTGATAGACTTGGGTTCATATTCAGGCCTTGTGGACCCTTTATTGAGAGACTTGGGTTCATATTCAGGCCTTGTGGACCCTTTGTTGAGAGACTTGGGTTCATATTCAGGTTTTGTGGACCCTTTGTTGAGAGACTTGGGTTCATATTCAGGTTTTGTGGACCCTTTATTGATAGACTTGGGTTCATATTCAGGTTTTGTGGACCCTTTGTTGATAGACTTGGGTTCATATTCAGGTTTTGTGGACCCTTTATTGATAGACTTGGGTTCATATTCAGGTTTATGGACCCTTTATTGAGAGACTTGGGTTCATATTCAGGCCTTGTGGACCCTTTGTTGAGAGACTTGGGTTTATATTCAGGCCTTGTGGACCCTTTATTGAAGACTTTGGGTTCATATTCAGGTTTTATGGACCCTTTTTGATAGACTTGGGTTCATATTCAGGTTTTGTGGACCCTTTATTGATAGACTTATAGATTGGGTTCATATTCGGGCCTTGTGGACCCTTTATTGAGAGACTTGGGGGTTCATATTCAGGCCTTGTGGACCCTTGTTGAGACTTGGGTTCATATTCAGGTTTTGGACCCTTTGATTGATAGACTTGGGTTCATATTCAGGTTTGTTATTGTGACCTTTGTTGATAGACTTGGGTTCATATTCGATTTGTGGACCCTTTATTGATAGACTTGGGTTCATATTCAGGCCTTGTGGACCCTTTATTGATAGACTTGGGTTCATATTCAGGCCTTGTGGACCCTTTATTGATAGACTTGGGTTCATATTCAGGTTTTGTGGACCCTTTATTGATAGACTTGGGTTCATATTCAGGTTTTGTGGACCCTTTGTTGAGAGACTTGGGTTCATATTCAGGTTTTGTGGACCCTTTATTGAGAGACTTGGGTTCATATTCAGGTTTTGTGGACCCTTTGTTGAGAGACTTGGGTTCATATTCAGGCCTTGTGGACCCTTTATTGAGAGACTTGGGTTCATATTCAGGCCTTGTGGACCCTTTGTTGAGAGACTTGGGTTCATATTCAGGCCTTGTGGACCCTTTCGAGGATCGTTTAATGATTGCTTGAGGTTCGTACTTGGGCTTCGAGGTTTGTTTACTAATTGACCGAGGTTTATACTCTAATTCTGACGAGACTTTCTCCACAGACTGGGGCTCATATTCCGGATCTTGAGTCCTCTTGGAGATCGAATGAGGTTTGTATTCTGAGGCGAGTGTTTCCCTCTTCTTACAGTCCGGATCACACTCGAGGTCGGATTTTTCTCGGCCGAAAGACTTCTTCACGCTTCCTCTGGATATTGGCAGTGGGGTGTACTGTTCCTCCGCTGTTCCCGGTTTACCTGAAGGATCTCTTAACCTGCATTGGGATTCCTCTAGTTCTTTCAGGATCGCAGTCGACTCAAATAAAAGGTCGAGGGCGCTCTTTGACGGGTTCTTTTTACCCTTTTTGTCCGTCGACGATACCGGACTGGGGGTGTACTGGGGTACGGATGGATTTTCACCGGGTTTATCAACTTTGCCGTGGCTGCTCCCCTCTCTCATCTCTGGCTTCTCAACCATATCCCATCGGCACCTCTTCTTCGGCGGCGTCTCTCCGATTTTTGCCACGTCGACGACATCCCATCGACTCACGTGACTCTTACGTTTAAGGCACTTGCTCGTATCTTTAGTGATGAGGAGGATCTTACCGCCTAGCTCCTCACTGGAGGGATAATCGTCGCCGTTTGGTAGTTTCTCCACCTTCTCCGTTGCCGAGCTCGATTTTCCATCCTCCGACGAGTCCTTCTCCTCCCCCTCGGTCTTTCCACTGTCGTTGTCTCCGCCGATCTTTCCCGCGTCGAGCCGAGAAATGCGAATCGTCTCCTCCGCCGAGAACACGCACTCGGCCTCCTCTCCCTCGCCCGTCGACGCATCTCGTACGACGTCCTCGCCCGACCCCATACTAACCGAGCGGTGACACGTGTTTCCTCTATCTCCGCCGGGTTTGTCGTTCTTGCCTTCCGCTGATGAGGAGCCTTTGTTGTTTTCTTCGGTCGCTGGTTTACGATCGTCCTCAGATTCGCGACTCTCTCCCTTCGATGGTTTCTGACTTCCTCTCTTACTCGATGATGATTCTTTTCTCCTCTCTTTACTGCTTGATGATTTGTGGCTCTTCTCCCCACTCGATTCTGTTGTCCTGTCTTTACTTGATGATTTGTGGCTACTTTCTTTTGCTGACGATTTGTGGCTACTTTCTTTTGCTGACGATTTGTGGCTACTTTCTTTTGCTGACGATTTGTGGCTACTTTCTTTTGCTGACGATTTCTGACTACTTTCTTTTGCTGACGATTTGTGGCTACTTTCTTTTGCTGACGATTTCTGACTACTTTCTTTACTGGATGATTGACGACCTCTGTCCTTTTTACTCAACAATTTCTGGCTACCGTCCTTACAAGATTCTTCATTTCCTACCTTTATCGATGCTTTATTATCGTCCTTTCTCGATGATCCCGGCGAGGTCTTAGTCTCTCTTTTCGACGACGCCGAACGCCTTTCCTTACCCGACGACGATTCTCTGTTGTCCTTCTTCGACGAGCATGATGATTCTCGGCTTCCTACACTCGATGATTCCCTCTTCTCTTCCTTCCTCGGGGAGTTTGACGATTGCCGATTCCTCCCTCTGCGATTCTTTTTCTCGTCCGATTCGTGGGATTTCTCCTTATGCGACGGATCCCGCTTCCTCTCCTCGCCCGACCGATGTGATCCGTAACCTTTTTCTTTGGGTCTTTGCGTCTTTTCCTGATTGCACAAATGTTGGGGTATTTTCTCGCTTAATAATTCTCGAACCTTTTCCTTGCTTGTTGTTTCAGCACTGTCTTCCTTACTCGATAAATCTTGAATCTTTCTCTCGCTCGATAAATCTTGAATCTTTCTCTCGCTCGATGAATCTTGAATCTTTCCCTCGCTCGATGAATCTTGAATCTTTCCCTCGCTCGATGAATCTTGAATCTTTCCCTCGCTCGATGAATCTTGAATCTTTCTCTCGCTCGATAAATCTTGAATCTTTCTCTCGTTCGATGAATCTTGAATCTTTCCCTCGCTCGATAAATCTTGAATCTTTCTCTCGCTTCGATAAATCTTGAATCTTTCTCGCTTCGATAAATCTTGAATCTTTCCCTCGCTCGATGAATCTTGAATCTTTCTCTCGTTTCGATAAATCTTGAACCTTTCTCTTCGATAAATCTTGAATCTTTCCTTGCTCGATGAATCTTGAATCTTTTCTCTGCTCGATAAATCTTGAATCTTTCTCTCGCTCGATAAATCTTGAATCTTTCTCTGCTTCGATAAATCTTGAATCTTTCCCTCGCCCGATGAATCTTGAATCTTTCCCTCATTCGATAAATCTTGAATCTTTTCCCCTGTAGCCTCAGCCTGTTCGCTCACTTCCGTGCTGTTCGTCTTGTTGACACTGGGAGATTCTCGACCGCGTTTTCTCGCTTGACCTTACCCCGTTTTCTTTCTCTGCACTAGGAGATACTTGGCTATTTTCTGAATTTGACGGGGATTCTTGGGGTTTCTTTCCGAATGGTGATTCCAGGGTCTCCATTTGATCTGATTTTCGGCTGTCATTGTTGTTCTGATTTTCAATATTATCCAATTTCCAACTTTCATTTTTGTCTGATTTTGGGATCTTATTTTCCTCTGATTTCTGACTTTCATTTTCATCTAATTTTGGGACCTTATTTTCATCTGATTTTGGGACTTATTTTCATCTGATTTTGTGACCTTATTTTCATCTGATTTTGGGGCCTTATTTTCAACTGATTTTGGGGCTTTATTTTCATCTGATTTTGGGGCCTTATTTTCATCTGATTTCTGAATCTCTGCTTGCGATTCTGGACTCTTTCTGTCAGCCAATGAACCTCGTGTCTGTTCCCTACACAATGACCTCTGGGGTGACTTCTGCCGTCTACCACCGTCGGATTTCTTGGATGTTAAGAGACGGGAAGATGACAGTTCACGGCCATTTTCCTTGGATTTACGATGTGACTTGTCCTTAGCGACGGTGGGTTTTTCCTTGGCCGATGATTTTTCACTTTTCTTGTCCGATGACTTAGGACTCTTTTCTTTGTCCAATGACTTAGGACTCTTCTTCTCCGATGACTTAGGACTCTTTTCATTGTCCGATGACTTAGGACTCTTCTTCTCTGATGACTTAGGACTCTTTTCTTTGTCCAATGACTTAGGACTCTTCTTCTCCGATGACTTAGGACTCTTTTCTTTGTCGTGACTTAGGACTCTTCTTCTCTGATGACTTAGGACTCTTTTCATTGTCCGATGACTTAGGACTCTTCTTCTCTGATGACTTAGGACTCTTTTCATTGTCCGATGACTTAGGACTCTTCTTCTCTGATGACTTGGGACTCTTTTCTTTGTCCAATGACTTAGGACTCTTCTTCTCCGATGACTTAGGACTCTTTTCTTTGTCCGATGACTTAGGACTCTTCTTCTCCGATGACTTAGGACTCTTTTCATTGTCCGATGACTTAGGACTCTTCTTCTCGATGACTTGGGACTTTTCTTTTCGATGACTTGGGACTCTCTTTGTCCGATGACTTGGGACTCTTTTCTTTCAGAGATCTTTATTGTCAGATGACTTAGGACTCTTCTTCTCTGATGACTTGGGACTCCTTTCTTTGTCCGATGACTTGGGACTCCTTTCTTTGTCCGATGACTTGGGACTCTTTTCATTGTCCAATGATTCAGGACTCTTTTCATTGTCAGATGACTTTGTAAGCGGTTCTTCACTCAACAAACTAACACTCTTGGGATTACTCTGTGATACTCTGTTCTTCTGTTTACCCGCTGCGCTCTCATTAACCCTTGGGTGGAGTGTACTGGACGGACTTTTCTCCGCTTTCGGCGATTTCTTTATCCGTCTTCGTGTCTTTGGTGGCGATGGCGCTCGGATCAATTCTTTTCTTCTTCTTCTTCTTTTTCTTCTTCTTCTTAGAGTCGGTAGTGATTTTATCCTCTCCGAAGATCTGTCGCATCACCTTGTCGAAGTCAGTTGGTGTGGCTTCTCTGGCTTTGAGTACCTTTGACGGCCGGCTCGGTGTCTCTACTCTGTTATCTCCTTGCTTCTCCTTCTGTTGGGTAGTGTCATCTCCCTGTTTCTCCTTCTGTTGGGTAGTGTCTCTCCCTGTTTCTCCTTCTGTTGTTGGGTAATGTCATCTCCCTGTTTCTCCTTCTGTTGGGTAGTGTCATCTCCTGTTTCTCCTTCTGTTGGGTAGTGTCATCTCCCTGTTTCTCCTTCTGTTGGGTATCATCTCCTGTTTCTCCTTCTGTTGGGTAGTGTCATCTCCTGTTTCTCCTTCTGTTGGGTAGTGTCATCTCCTGTTTCTCCTTCTGTTGGGTAGTGTCATCTCCTGTTTCTCCTTCTGTTGGGTAGTGTCATCTCCTGTTTCTCCTTCTGTTGGGTAGTGTCAGCTCCCTGTTTCTCCTTCTGTTGGGTAGTGTCATCTCCTTGTTTCTCCTTCTGTTGGGTAGTGTCATCTCCCTGTTTCTCCTTCTGTTGGGTAGTGTCATCTCCTTGCTTCTCCTTCTGTTGGGTAGTGTCATCTCCCTGTTTCTCCTTCTGTTGGGTAGTGTCATCTCCCTGTTTCTCCTTCTGTTGGGTAGTGTCATCTCCTTGCTTCTCCTTCTGTTGGGTAGTGTCATCTCCCTGTTTCTCCTTCTGTTGGGTAGTGTCATCTCCCTGTTTCTCCTTCTGTTGCATATCAGGAGCTGAGGTCTTCTTAGTCATGTTTCCCTCAGCGATCACATCTTCAACTCTGACGTTTTCTTTCGACTTTGGACTCGTGTCGTCGGGAACCTCGGCCGGTTTGCTCGTGGCGGCGTTCTTTTTACTGGGAAGGGTTTTACTCTCGTCCGTACTGCTGTCACTGTCTAGGTCGATGACAGGGATGGACGGCAAAGCTTTCGGCCCGGCTTTCGGAATTAACGGGGGAGTTTTTCGAGGTTGCCGACGCCACCGAGTGTGACTTTACAGTGGAAGGCGAATGCGGTGTTTCCGACGACTTCCGCGTTGTGTGGACGTACCTCGGCGTTATGGTCGAGCTTGGTATTATCAGCGTCGTGAGCGGGGACTCCTATTGTTAGTGCGGTCGTCTGTTTATCAACGGCGTCTTCTGTCAATGGAGCATTTTCCGTGTTTCTCCGTGGTTGATCCGTGTCTTCTGATTCCTCTGAGACGGTGATTAACGTAGCATCTGTTCTTATAGTTGTTTTCTCTGTTTGCTTTTTCTTGATGATACACACTCTCAAGATGTCCTCGTTGAGTTTATTTACCTTCTCCTCCGCAGTGCAGTTCTGGCCTTCGTCCTGCGTGTCACCCTTTGGAACTTTCTTGCCAATGGCACTTCGGCGTCGTGTGACGCCACTGGCGGAGTTGACGCCTGGTGGGCCGAGCCCAATGGCGTAATCTTTGTCCTCTCCGCACGATTGCGCGAGTTGGTTCGACCGGAGCTCTTGCTCGACCTCCTTTTCTTGATATTAGTTTTAGGTTTGTGTTGCGAGGACCTCGTAGTTGACGCCGTCCCTCCGGATGAGCGTTTTGAAGATTTTGACGAGCCGTTACCGGATGGCGACGACGTCCCGGACGCCAACGGTCGAGCCCGGTGACGGTGCTCCTCGCCATCCTCCTTATCTATGGATTTCTTCTTTGATTTTGATGTGGCCGAATTTTCTTTTGAATTCTTGTTGTCATTTTTGTGTCTCTTATGAGTCTTGGTGTCAGATTTTCTCTTTTGTTTGTTATCTTTACTTTCATTGTGGGATCTTTTATTCTTATGCATTTCTCTGTGTTCCCTCCTCTTTGATTCCTCACTTTTCTTGACCGTTGAAATAATTTTACCCGTGTCGTCGGGTGAACTCTTGGAGGGTAAACCGGGATTGTTTTGACCTTTAGCATCACTGGAAACGGCAGCACTAATCTTCTTCTTGTTGCTCAGATTAATGTCGATAACAGATCTATCAATGGACACCTGTAGTGACAATTTGAACGACTGTGATGTTTGGGCGTTCCTCTCGTTGTTGACCCCGTTCCCGCCCACCAGATCAGTGCCCGTCATGTGTGGTGGGCTGGTAGTCGTGTGTGGTGGGCTGGTGGTCGTGTGTGGTGGGCTGGTGGTGGGTGTGTGGTGGGCTGGTGGTCGTGTGTGGTGGGCTGGTGGTCGTGTGTGGTGGGCTGGTGGTCGTGTGTGGTGGGCTGGTGGTCGTGTGTGGTGGGCTGGTGGTGGTGTGTGGTGGGCTGGTCATCATGTCGTCAGAGGAAAGATATGATCGGTTTATTTCTCGTCAATAGCTGTTGATATTAGGGAATCGTCTCCCAGAGTTGTTTGGATGTTGGCACAGGTAACTGACATCTCTTCAGCATCATCTTTGGTCTTAGCTGACCCTGGGCATCTTCCTTTGGTCTTAGCTGACACCAGGGCATCTTCCTGGGTCTTAGCTGACACCTGGCATCTTCCTTGGTCTTAGCTGACACCCAAGCATCTTTCCTTGGTTCAGCTTGACACCTTGGCATCTTCCCTTATCTTAGCTGACACCTGGGCATCTTCCTTTGGTCTTAGTTGACACTCCAGCATCTTCCTTTGGTCTTAGCTGACACCTGGGCATCTTCCTTGGTCTTAGCTGACACTAAGCATCTTCCTTGGTCTTAGTTGACACCTGGGCATCTTCCTTGGTCTTAGCTGACACCAGGGCATCTTTCCTTAGTCTTAGCTGACACCTGGCATCTTCTTGGTCTTAGCTGACACCTGGCATCTTCCTTTGGTCTTAGCTGACACCTGGCATCTTTCCTTTGGTCTTATTGACACTCCAGCATCTTCCTTTGGTCTTCTCCTTAGCTGACACTCCAGCATCTTCCTTTGGTCTTAGCTGACACCTGGGCATCTTCCTTGGTCTTAGCTGACACCTGGGCATCTTCCTTGGTCTTAGCTGATACCTGGGCATCTTCCTTGGTCTTAGCTGACACCTGGGCATCTTCCTCTGTCTTATTGACACCTGGCATCTTCCTTGGTCTTAGCTGACACCTGGCATCTGGTCTTAGCTGACCTGGGCATCTTCCTTAGTCTTAGCTGACACCAGGGCATCTTCCTTGGTCTTAGCTGGACACCAGGCATCTCCTTGGTCTTAGCTTGACACCTGGGCATCTTCCTTAGTCTTAGCTGACACCTGGCATCTTCCTTAGTCTTAGCGATTACCTGCATCTTCCTTAGTCTTAGCTGACACCTGGCATCTTCCTTGGTCTTAGTTGACACCTGCATCGTCCTTGGTCTTAGCTGACACCTGCATCTTCCTTGGTCTTAGCTGACACCTGGGCATCTTCCTTGGTCTTAGCTGACACCAGGGCATCTTCCTTGTCTTAGCTGGACACCAGGCATCTTCCTGTCTTAGCTGACACCTGGGCATCTTCCTTGGTCTTAGCTTTCGACACCTGGGCATCTTCCTTGGTCTTAGCTGACACCAGGGCATCTTCTCTTGGTCTTAGCTGACACCTGGGCATCTTCCTTGGTCTTAGGTGACACTGGCATCTCCTTGGTCTTAGCTGACACCTGGGCATCTTCCTTGGTCTTAGCTGACACCAGGGCATCTTCCTTGGTCTTAGCTTTTGACACCTGGGCATCTTTCCTTTGGTCTTAGCTGGACACCAGGGTGACATCTTCCTTTGGTCTTAGCTGACACCAGGGCATCTCTTCTCCTTTGGTCTTAGCTGACACCAGGGCATCTTCCTTGGTCTTAGCTTGACACTCCAAGTATCTTTCCTTGTCTTAGCTGGACACCTTATGGGCATCTTCCTTGGTCTTAGCTGACACCTGCATCTTCCTGGTCTTAGCTGACACCTGGCATCTTTCCTTGGTCTTAGCTGACACCTGGGCATCTTTCTTAGTCTTAGCTGACACCTGGGCATCTTCCTTGGTCTTAGCTGCACCTGGGCATCTTTCTTAGTCTTAGCTGACACCTGTGCATCTTCCTTAGTCTTAGTTGACACCTGGGCATCTTCCTTGGTCTTAGCTGACACCTGGGCATCTTCCTTGGTCTTAGCTGACACCTGGGCATCTTCCTTGGTCTTAGCTGACACCTGGGCATCTTCCTTAGTCTTAGCTGACACCTGGACATCTTCCTTGGTCTTAGCTGACCCCTGGGCATCTTCCAGTGTAGCTTACTGACACCTGGGCTTCTTCCTTGGTCTTAGCTGACACCTGGGCATCTTCCTTAGTCTTAGTTGACACCTGGGCTTCCTTGGTCTAGCTGACACCTGGGCATCTTTCTTAGTCTTAGCTGACACCTGGGCATCTTCCTTAGTCTTAGCTGACACCTGGACATCTTCCTTGGTCTTAGCTGACACCTGGGCATCTTCCTTGGTCTTAGCTGACACTTGGACATCTTCCTTGGTCTTAGCTGACACCTGGGCATCTTTCTTATTCTTAGCTGACACCTGGGCATCTTTCTTAGTCTTAGTTGACACCTGGGCATCTTTCTTAGTCTTAGCTGACACCTGGGCATCTTTCTTAGTCTTAGCTGACACCTGGGCATCTTCCTTGGTCTTAGCTGACACCTGGGCATCTTCCTTGGTCTTAGCTGACACCTGGGCATCTTCCTTAGTCTTAGTTGACACCTGGGCATCTTCCTTAGTCTTAGCTGACACCTGGGCATCTTCCTTAGTCTTAGCTGACACTTGGGTATCTTCCTTAGTCTTAGCTGACACCTGGGCATCTTCTTAGTCTTAGCTGACACCTGGGCATCTTCCTTAGTCTTAGCTGACACTTGGGCATCTTCCTTAGTCTTAGCTGACACCTGGGCATCTTCCTTAGTCTTAGTTGACACCTGGGCATCTTCCTTGGTCTTAGCTGACACCTGGGCATCTTCCTTAGTCTTAGCTACTTGGACATCTTCCTTAGTCTTAGTTGACACCTGGGCATCTTCCTTAGTCTTAGCTGACACCTGGACATCTTCCTTAGTCTTAGCTGACACTTGGGCATCTTCCTTAGTCTTAGCTGACACTTGGGCATCTTCCTTGGTCTTGGCTGACACTTGGGCATCTTCTTTAGTCTTAGCTGACACCTGGACATCTTCCTTAGTCTTAGCTGACACTTGGGCATCTTCCTTAGTCTTAGCTGACACTTGGGCATCTTCCTAGTCTTAGCTGACACTTGGGCATCTTCCTTAGTCTTAGCTGACACCTGGACATCTTCCTTGGTCTTAGCTGACACCTGGGCATCTTCCTTGGTTTTAGCTGACACCTGGGCACCTTCCTTGGTTTTAGCTGACACCTGGGCATTATCCTTGGTCTTAGCTGACACCTGCATCTCATCCTTGGTCTTAGCTGACTCTTGGGCATATCCTTAGTTTTAGCTGCACTTGGGCATCATCCTTGGTCTTAGCTGACACTTGGGCATCATCCTTGTTCTTAGCTGACACCTGGGCATTATCCTTGGTCTTAGCTGACACCTGCATCTCATCCTTGGTCTTAGCTGACACTTGGGCATCATCCTTGGTCTTAGCTGACTCTTGGGCATTATCCTTGGTCTTAGCTGACACCTGCATCTCATCCTTGGTCTTAGCTGACACTTGGGCATCATCCTTGGTCTTAAGCTGACACTTGGGCATCTTCCTTAGTCTTAGCTGACACCTGGACATCTTCCTTGGTCTTAGCTGACACCTGGGCATCTTCCTTGGTTTTAGCTGACACCTGGGCATCTTCCTTGGTTTTAGCTGACACCTGGGCACCTTCCTTGGTTTTAGCTGACACCTGGGCATTATCCTTGGTCTTAGCTGACACCTGCATCTCATCCTTGGTCTTAGCTGACTCTTGGGCATTATCCTTAGTTTTAGCTGACACTTGGGCATCATCCTTGGTCTTAGCTGACACTTGGGCATCATCCTTGTTCTTAGCTGACACCTGGGCATCCTTGGTCTTAGCTGACACTTGGGCATCATCCTTGGTCTTAGCTGACTCTTGGGCATTATCCTTGGTCTTAGCTGACACCTGCATCTCATCCTTGGTCTTAGCTGACACTTGGGCATCATCCTTGGTCTTAGCTGACACTTGGGCATCATCCTTGGTCTTAGCTGACACTTGGGCATCATCCTTGGTCTTAGCTGACACTTGGACATCGTCCTTGGTCTTAGCTGACACTTGGACATCATCCTTGTTCTTAGCTGACACTTGGACATCGTCCTTGGTCTTATCTGACACTTGGGCATCATCCTTGGTCTTAGCTGACACTTGGGCATCGTCCTTGGTCTTAGCTGACACTTGGGCATCATCCTTGGTCTTAGCTGACACTTGGACATCGTCCTTGGTCTTAGCTGACACTTGGACATCATCCTTGTTCTTAGCTGACACCTGAACATCATCATTAGTCTTAGCTGACACTTGGACATCATCCTTGTTCTTAGCTGACACTTGGACATCGTCCTTGGTCTTAGCTGACACCTGGACATCATCATTGGTCTTAGCTGACACTTGGACATCATCCTTGTTCTTAGCTGACACCTGAACATCATCATTAGTCTTAGCTGACACCTGGACATCATCATTGGTCTTAGCTGACACTTGGACATCATCCTTGTTCTTAGCTGACACCTGAACATCATCATTGGTCTTAGCTGACACCTGGACATCATCCTTCGTCTTAGCTGACACTTGAGCATCATCCTTGTTTTCAGCTGACACCTGGACATCGTCCTTGGTCTTAGCTGACACTTGGACATCATCCTTGTTCTTAGCTGACACCTGGACATCATCCTTGTTCTTAGCTGACACCTGGACATCATCCTTTTTCTTAGCTGACACCTGGGCATCATCCTTGTTCTTAGCTGACACCTGGACATCATCCTTTTTCTTAGCTGACACCTGCACATCATCCTTGTTCTTCGCTGACACCTGGAAATCTTCCTTAGCCTTTGCTGACATCTGGGCATCATCTTTGGTCTTAGCTGACACCTGGGCATCATCCTTAGCTAACACCTGGGCATCATCCTTGGTCTTAGCTGACACCTGGACATCATCCTTGTTCTTAGCTGACAACTGGGAATCTTCCTTAGCCTTTGCTGACATCTGGGCATCATCTTTGGTCTTAGCTGACACCTGGGCATCATCCTTAGCTAACACCTGGGCATCATCCTTTTTCTCAGATGACAATTGGGCATCTTCCTTAGCTGACACCTGGGCATCATCATTAGTTTTAGCTGATATCTGGGCATCTCCATTAGCTGACAGCTGGGTATCCTCCTTAGCTGACACCTGAGCATCTTCTATGGTTGTGGCTGACACCTGGGCATCATCTATGGTTGTGGCTGACACCTGGGCATCATCTATGGTTGTGGCTGACACCTGGGCATCATCTATGGTTGTGGCTGACACCTGGGCATCATCTATGGTTGTGGCTGACACCTGGGCATCATCTATGGTTGTGGCTGACACCTGGGCACCATCTATGGTTGTGGCTGACACCTGGGCATGACTCCTGGTAGTGTGTGATGGAGAAGACCTACAGTGTGAGGATGGCACCTTAGGAGCGGTCCTATTAATATATTCCTCAATGTTTCTCATACACTCCCAAGATGTGTCGTCAGATAACACAACGCTGCGGGAGGAGGACGACACGAGGCTACTGCTGGGGTCTGGACTTGTCAACGGGCTGGAATCTCTCTCTGAATTACCACTCTCCCGGCTGTTTCCGAAGAGATCTCCCTCCAAGATGTCGAAGTCAATGTCGGGGGAATGGCAGCTGTTACTCCTACTCCCAAAGCCGATGGCGTCCATGGAGTCGTTGATGCGCTGAGAGGATGGCTTGCTGCTGTCGTCGGGCCGTTGGGTCCGTCCCGTGGCCGAGGGGACCGATTTTGGCGTACACTTGGTGTCGTCGTCTTCGTCGTCGGAACTACACATGGTGAGGATTTCTCCCTGGAAACTGTGAGTCTCGTCATCTTGTTTGTCCTTCACTTCAAAGTCTGTGGACATGAGGTACTCCTCGGGGTAAGACGGCATTATCAAGGGGGACTTCAAGATCTCTACACTAGACGACCGCACCTTGTCTCTAAGTTCGCCTCTTCTCTGTGAGTCTCTCTGTCTCTCACAGGCTTGTCCATCATCAGTTGACATCTCTCTGGCAGTACAGCTCTGTCTCGGTTTTACCACATCGTCGTCTGACCCGCTGCCGAGCCCGTCACGTTCTGAAGGGGACGAGGCGTTCTTAGAGCTGCCGTCGCCACGGTGAGCGGGATGAAAGACACTTTTTTGGGACGACTTGCAGTTCACCACAATTTCTCTGCTCAGACCCTTAAGCAGTGTTGGTCGCCTCCGTTTACAGATGAGGGCGAAGTCGTCGGCGTCGAGGAGATCGATCCCTCCCGTAGTCTCTCCAAGCTCTAAAATGTCGTCATTTCTGGGCGTCGCGTCGGCCAACGGGTCTTGAGTCTCCTGGTCATCTGGAGTGAGGACCTGGGGTAAGCCTTCAACAACTTCCACTTCCTCGACGGGCAACATTTCCGTCTCTCCGCTGTCGCTTCCGGCGGTCGAATCTTCCGGCGACACGACGAGTTTTTCCGTTGCGTCGCCGGCGGAAGTCTTCCGTCCGTTGCACTTTCCCCCGACACTTACGTATCCCTGAGGTTTCTGCCGGCTCTTATGGGTCCTGTTCTCTGAGGCGCCTCCGCTGCTCGAGTCTAAGTTTGTGGAGGACTCACTGTGATCTCGTCGTACTGGACTCTCAAAGCTGTAATAAACACCATTATATTTCAACACACTGTGAGGCTATACTATTAATATTTTTGTATAGCTCTATAAAACTCTAAACCATCAAGACAAAAAAGCCACGAGACCTGGAAAAAAAATATATATAAACAGTAAATTAACTAACAAATGGACTGTCAAATCCTGTAATATACACCATTACATTTCAAGACCATCATCATTAAGGCTGCACAGAGGTTAGATCCGACCGGTACCTTCAGTAAAATAACCGGACGGAACCCTAACTGTTTACCGTTTCATAATTTACAATATAATTCACTGTTAATGTTTCTTATTTCTAATGGATGATGCTGCATAAAATAGTCCTGAGTATAACCACCAAGGTATACTGCTGCCTGAGTATAACCACCAAGGTATACTGCTGCCTGAGTATAACCACCAAGGTATACTGCTGCCTGAGTATAACCACCAAGGTATACTGCTGCCTGAGTATAACCACCAAGGTATACTGCTGCCTGAGTATAACCACCAAGGTATACTGCTGCCTGAATATAACCACCAAGGTATACTGCTGCCTGAGTATAACCACCAAGGTATACTGCTGCCTGAGTATAACCACCAAGGTATACTGCTGCCTGAGTATAACCACCAAGGTATACTGCTGCCTGAGTATAACCACCAAGGTATACTGCTGCCTGAGTATAACACCTTACCTTCCAAGTTGTAGTGTGAGGAGGGTTGGATACACTTGTTGGGGCCGCAAGCCTCTCCCACACGTGAATCCTTCTGTTAATGATGAAGAAAAAACAAAACATTTACTACCATGAATATCTGAAGGGTCGTGCTATTGTTTGTGAAGGAGAAGGAGGGGGAGGGGGAGGAGGGGTGTTTTGTCTTATGCAGATAAAAATATTCAAGTATTGGTAAGTTTGTTCATGGTATCAAGGTAAATAAATATTCTAGGCACAATTGTATCATCTTATATAGACAGATATATAGAATGTAACTGCTGCAGCTTTCTAAATTGTAATTAATTTATCATCAATGTTTTATGGCTATTTTCCTAACACAAACTCAGAAGCAGGGTGACAACTTGCTGAGATGACCAGAGACTGTTTCTTATAATGTAGTCAATACAAAATGGCTTAACTGTAATGAGTACTGTAGACACACACCTGGAGAGTCTGGCTGAGGGGGGGATATCTCGTCTCTCTCTCTGCGTTCGGGAGTCAAGAAGGCCATATTCCACATGGAGTCTCGGTACTCCGAGTCGTGGTCGCTGACGCCGTCGCTGTACTGGATGGACTTGTGGTGGACGTCCGGCGTGGGAGCGGAGCCGTCGTCTCCTCCGCTGCCGCCCTTCCCGCCGCTCCCCGTACGAAGGTGTCTCGCTGGAGCGTCTCTGGGAGGAATGTCTAAGGCAGCACCTGTAACAGCACCCCGGGAAAGACCACCCCCAGCACCGCCATTAATCTTACCGCCGGCCCTCACACCCATGCCGCCCTTCCCTTGGTCACAAGAATCGTCTTCGTCCAACACAATAACGTCACCGGCACTGTTGGAGTCTTCGTCGCTGGACGTGATGGTCACTTCCGTCACCCTGTTCTGAAGTTTAGCGCCGCGGGATGAATTTTTCTCACCGGCAGCTTGAGTCTCCCGTGTCTGTTTTGGACTGATTTTGACGGCCGGTTTGCGTTCTTTGCTACTCGGCGCGCCCGGCGTTAGAGGATCCTCGGCGACCGTTGGCTCCGCCGTATCTTTATTCCTTGGCGACTTTTTACTCTCGTCCTCTATAGCATCTGCTTTCTTTGGGGTCGAGTCTCTGTCGGATACTTTAACAGATTTATCCACACTCGCTCCCTCCGTCTCACCCTTGCGCGATTCCGCTTCACTGCCGGAGTTGCCGTGTTCCATTGAGGTATCAGATGTGGACGTTCTGTTACTCCTGGTGCTGACTGGAGGAGGACTACCGACGGACGTGTTGGGCGACGAACCATCCAGCCGCCTCAAAGTCTCTTCAATGTCGTCAGGGAGATCTAAAGACTCTGAGACGGGGTTTACTGACGTCTTTTCTGTAGGGACGGGTTGTTTCTTGCTTCCATTTCGTTTCCTATCTTCATTTTCTTCTTTCCTACCTTCACTTGTTTCTTTCCTACCTTCACTTGTTTCTTTCCTACCTTCACTTGTTTCTTTCCTACCTTCACTTGTTTCTTTCCTACCTTCACTTGTTTCATTTTCCTCTCTCACACACCTCCTGGGTCTTGCAGTAGGTGGAGTCTTTGAAGGCTTCTCTCTTGTGTTTGTCGTGTCTTCATTACCAGCTGATGTGTTTACCTCGTCCACCACCTCGCATAATGTGGGAACGTGTTTCCCCGTAGTGCTCGCCGAAGACGTTGATTTTGTCTTATTTCTCGGCACTTTGGGATCCGTTGTCGTCGGGCCGTCCTCGCCTGCTTCGGACGGCGAGGCACTGTTGCCGGCGTTCTTATTTTTACCCTCTCCACCGGCTGCCGATGTGGTTCTTGCGGGCATCGACCTCTTCTCGAGGCCGTCGACGTCTTCTGGAGCCTGCACATCGCCTTCCTTAGTTGGCATGCTTATTTTAGTGTTCGTGGGCCGTTGATTCGAGTCACCGGCCGGACAATCGTCGTTGTCAGACTCGCTGGAAAATATTCTACACACAGTTCTTTTCACACTGGCCTGGAAGATTGCGTTGTTGAATATCAAATTCTTCACGGTCTTCTTATTCAAGTCTGGATCACGCTGACCGACATTGTCTGCGGCGGTCTTCTTCTTTGTCCTCTCCTTTCTTCTCCCTTTGCTCAACACCATCTTCTTACTCTTCATCTTACTCGTGGCAGACAAGTTGAAGCTCTCGTCCGGCGAATCGCTCGAAGAATCAATTATGGCCATGGATTTGATTCTGGATCTTCGGACACTCGACGTTCCTCTGCCTCGGCTCCTTCCCCGCGTATTCCGCCTGAGGTCTGCGTTCTGGCGTAACCTACTGCTCTGTCTCAGGTTGACTTCGCCAGTTTCGGCGCTGGAATTTTTATTCCTCGGAGTTGAATCGTCGGCCCCGTTCTCTCTTGTGCCAGTCGCCGCATCCGAGCCGGCGGCGACGTTTCTAGACCGATGGCCGTCAACAGCACAGGGAGAAGCGGACGTCGGTTTAGGTTTACCCTCGTCGGCATTCACGACTCCCTCAACTCTGGCTTCTGCTCCTGGGTCGCTAACTATGGTGGACGAGGTTGGATCCTCCTCGGTCTCCGTTACGTGCGAGCTCCGTCGTTTATCACAGCTCGGGGGACGGGAACCAGTTTCAGGACCGGCATCGTCACGGCCGTCTCTCGTGGTAGTATCAACAGACTCCCCTCGTGATGTAGGTGTAGGAGGTTCGATGTTCTCCGCACTCTTGTGGTTTACGGGGCGCTGAGGAACTAGGTCAGAGGGACAACTTTCTTGAGCCTTTTCACTCTGGCAGCTTCTCTCAAGTTTTGCCTCAACTGGTGTACACCCTTCCCCTGATCTCACCTTCCTCTCACTCCTACGAGGCTTTTTGCTCTCTTTGCCGTCGGAAGGACTCGTCAGAATTCTCTTCTTTGCGGACTCTACGACCTTTGTGGCCTCGGGAGATGCGGTGACGTTGCCGTCCTCGACGTCTTCTGCCGTGGGGTTGCCGGTCGGCGGCGCAGTGGACGACACGAGTCGTTTTGACTGTTTCTTGGGGGCCTGGATGCCCGACTCTGAAGATGATCTAAATGTACATATAATATCAGGTGAGAGTTTTTGCAACATTACTTTAGGGGGAGTTTTCAACTTTATATCTTGTACGAGAAACGTCTTCGAGGCCACTTCTCGTGGAGACGCCGTCGAGTCGCCTGCCGCTTCTAGCGGAGTCGGAGTGTCCGGAGCCGGCGCTTCGTTGTTGTCGCCGCCGGGAGGACTCGGCGGTCGATGCTCGTCGGGGCGCGGCGGCCTTCCCACGACGGGAGAGGTGTCGGGGGCGGAGTCGTCGCGTTTATCGAGAAATTCGTGCAGTACCGTCGGTGTGACGCTTCTTACGCTCTTGTCCCCCAGCAACAGAGCCTCCAAGTCAGCATCATCCAGAGCCCTGCTGTCTGATGACTCTATTCTCTCTGAGCCTTTGTTAGGGGAGCCTAAGATTGCCGCCAATTCCAGTTCCACCGAATCCACCCTGGAAGAATAAGCAGAACGCGGAGTGGAATTGGGAGGAGGAGGACGGGTCGCCGAGGGAGGCTTTGTCACGACGGAGTGTGACGAGGAAGACTGCGTCGATACGCGATGTGGCGTCGACTCGTGCGGGCTGGAACTTTGTGGAGAGTTACCCGGGGAAACGGACGGCCGAGGTACGCCGGGAGAAGAGTTTTTCTGTAACGAGTTGGCCGGTGGATCATCTAACGGCGGTGTTTTGTGCCGTGGAGCATCAACTGAAGGTTTGTCATGGTGAGGTGCATTTGTTGGTGTCTCAAGTAGTGGTGCATCTAGTTGTGATTTGTTAGGGCTGTGTGGTGGTGATGCGACCGGTGCTGAGGTGTTCGTCGAACTAGAATTTACAGTTGACGTGACGGGTGGCAGAGTGGAGGGCTGTCGCGACGCAGTAGTAGCGTCCGACGGGGCTTTATCACTCTGTTCCCTCTTCCTCTGACTCTCTCGTTCTACCAAGGTTTTGGAACAGTCTGTCGGTTTCTCCTCGTGTTTACCATTATCAATGTCCTCGTCAATGTTCTCTACGTTAGACAAGCCTTCGTTCGCCGCCGGTGCACGTATCTTGATCTTGAGCGGTACCTGAACCTCGGCGACCGGCTCGTCGTTCGCTGCAGTACTCTCGCCGTCGGTCGCGTCCGACTCCGTCACTCCTCCGTCGGTCGTGGCTTCTGTGTCGTCTCGCTGTCTTTCGCCGCGAGATACGCAGAAGTCGCTCGTCTTGTCGCTATTGCGCGACCCTTCATCTTGTTCCCAGTGAGAGTTGCACCGTTTGAGCCTCAGCATGACGTGGACCGGCGTCGGGGGAATGACAAAACCGTCGTCCGTCCTCTCGACTCTTGAGCTCTGTTGCGTCTTGTGTCTGTCGCCCGTTTCCTCGAAGGTGGAAGAGAATCCCGAGATCAGAGACTTCTTTATGATTAACGTGGGAATGAGCGGCTTACCCGGGGAACTGTTCTCCGCCGGGGCCGTCTTGTGTGCCTGCGGAGTATCTTCCGGACTCCTCGCTTCAGATCTTTGCGCTCGAGATGTTGGCGACTTCTCCCGACTCTGTGCTGCAGACTTTCGTGAACTTGATTTAGAAGTTTTTTCGAGGCCGACGAATACCGAGTCGTCCGAAGTTAATGCCGTCGATTTCTCTGCCCCAGAAAGAGGGTTAATCTCTAATGTCGCGTGAGAGGACTTTTCTGTGACGCGCAGGGGATCCTCGGCCGTCGCTTCGCCGGGCATTTCGGACGCTGGTGAATTTACTTCAATACGCGATCGTGGAACCTTTCCGCGTTCAAATGTCCGGACGTTTACGCCACCCGAGGAGGAAGCGCTCTCTTGGAGGGGCGACGCCGCGGCCGTCACGTCGTCCCTATCGTCACGCCCTTCGCCTTTACTGTTATTATTCTCCTCGTTGGTCCTGCACGAGTCGTCTTCGGTGGCTCTATATAAACTTCTCGACATATCTATCGCGTCTGCCATATCTTCCTGGTGTTGAGTTTCTGAAGTTAGTTGGTCGAGCTGCGGGTTCTTGATCTTGAGAATGACGTGCTGCTCGGAGCGAGGCTTCTTGCGTAGACGTATCTTGAGGCAGTCCTGAGAGAAGTGACGGGGGGTTGAGCCCGGGCCCGTGTAGTTGATTCTGTGAACGGGAGTATACATGGGGGAGTACATGGGGGTGTAAGAAGGAGTGGAGTACACCGGGGTGTGGCAGGGTGTTCGATTTGGCGTCTTCAAGTAACTGAAGTTTGGGTCGTGTGCAGGAGTTCTCTTGGCGTTCCGTACGATCTTCCTGACTCGTCTGTACACGGAAGTGTTCTTTTTACGCAGACTCTTCAACCTCTGGGCGACCGGAACGTCTTCGTCGCTCACGTCGTCGTCGAATTCATATATGTTCTTCCTGGCATTCGGTCCGAGACGCGAATCTTCGACGAGGTCAATACCCAGGGGGTCGTGGGGGTCACAGTGAAGCGGTAAAGTCTCTGGAGATTCCCTAGATATTGGGGATACGGAGCATCTCTCCACGGTGCCGGTGATGTCTCCAGCCTCCCGGTGTACGTCTGTGGGGTTGGATGGATGGTTCAGTTTCCTCTTCTTCCTCTGGGGCGCGGCGAGCAAACAGTCCGCACCTCTCTTCTCCACCACCGCCCGTCGGATGGTTATCTTCAGTTTGGAGTCCTTGTTGACCTTGACGACGAGTTGTGGAGACGCAGCTTCCAGAGCTAATTTGTTCCTCGGTTCGGGCTGTGGCGTCGTCTGCACGTAGTCACGCGCCGTCGTGCGACCGGTCTGTTCGTCTTCCGCCGCCTGTGAGAGGTTTCCGTCAGAAGTGGACAAGAGTTGTGCACTATTGGACTTCTTCGGAGGCCTCCCTCTTGGTCTCTTGGTAGTTTGGATTGTCTGGGTGGGAGTCTTTGCTTCTTGAGGTTTTATTCTCTCTTCAGTGACTGCTGTACCTCCACTGACTCTGGTTGTGGGAGACGACTGCTCGCCGGTAGTCGTTGCAGATGATGGAAGGTCACTTGATGCCAAACCTTCCCTGACTACCGCTGAATCCTCACCTATATTATTACTTAAAAGGACTGAAGTTTTGGGCACAATTTTGGCAGCGGGTGCGGCGGGGTTCTTCCTGGGACGTCCTCTACGCCTCTTGCTAGGGGGCACAAAGCAAACGTCCGTTGGCATTTCTGGCAGCGGTCTTGCACTTTTGATCTGCAACAAAGACTGGTTGACCTGAGGTAACGGTGCCAAAATGGGTAGTGGCCGGGTCAACGGAGTCGGTGCATCTGAATCAAAGAACTCGGCATAGGAGGATACATTAGCACAAGCTCGTCTCCTCCCTCTACGCGTAACCTGCGCCTCGGGAACCACCTCAGAGGCCGCAGGTAGTAGAGGTGTTACTCTGACTGGTTCAGTTTTGTCAGAGAGATAATCATCTCTTGAAGACATCTCACCAGGGACACTATCCTGGAGTAAGTAATCATTAAACAACTTGCCCTTCCTGGTTCCTCTGCCTAAATTTTTCTTTACAGTATTTGATCGGACCTGCGGCGCCTGTCTACGTTGAGGTTTTCTCTGGGGCGAACTTTTGGGCCTTCCACGTCCCTTCTTGAGGGTCACGGCCAAGACGGGATTGTCCGGCGTCGTCGAAGTGACCTCAGAACTGCTGTCGGGAGTGTCGAGTGCAACCGGACGAGTCTTCTCCCGGGACATCTTAGGAAGCAAGTCCTCAGTAAATGCTTTAAGTGCTCCCTTTGTGGGCAGCTTCAGCACCAGCTTCGGTATCTCCTGGTCACTGTGGTCCGGCGTGTTTTTACCCACGGCAGATTCTACGTCTTTCACGGGATGCGAGTCCGTCTCCCGCCCGGGCAGAGCACCTCGGGTAAGAGCCTCATCCTGACCGGGTCGACTTAACGATCCTACCCTGGGTGACTGGCTACTCTGTGAGGCTAGACACTGCTCTGGGATTATATTTGAGTGTGGAGGTGTGTCAGGTCCCTGCACCGACACAGGCGATGGCGACCGACAGTCGTCGCCGGTGGGGGGTTCCTCCCGAGACGCAGGACCTTGCGCGGGTGTCGCGGGATCTCGTCTAGAGGAGGAGCAAAGATTCTCCTCTGAACAATTGAACAATGTTTCTTCTCCCTCAGGTGGAGAGTTGGGTAAATCTTGCCGGCAGGGAAGACGCGGTCGTTGTGTGCCGTCCTCGCACGTTAGCTTCTCCGTGGCAGCGACCTCTCTCTCTGTCTCCGTGGCAGCGACCTCCCTCTCTGTCTCCGTGGTGGCGACCTCTCTCTCTGAAGGTAAAAAACTGCTCTTTAAAGGTTCCAGACATGAAGCAGACACTAAATCTTTCTCGCCCGTATCTATTGGTGAAGGTGGTCGTCGGATCTCCTCTTCTTCTTCGTCCGAGGAATCTAGGCCGACGGATCTCGGGGGAGAGAACGGAGGCGGGGAGTTACCGGAAAACCCCGAGGAGTTGCTGGACTGGCTCGACGAACTGCTCCGTCGTCCGATGATCCTGGAGTCGTGAACGGTCCGCACCGAGTCGGCGTCACTGTCGTCTTGGGGCGGCAGCAAGTGGCCTTTGGAGGAGAGGAAGTTAAGAGACGATGGCCCGGTTATTTCGCAGCCCCCAACGGCTTCGGTAAATGGTTTGTCTAAGGTTGAATCGCTCCCCTTGGCTAGTCTGTTATCTTCAGCATCCTTCGCCTTATCTTCCAGCACATCTAAGAGACTTTGATCTTTTGAGCTTCCCGCCATGACTTTGAGTATCGAGAGCGTCTCGCCGAGATGGTCGGAAGACGTGGTCTTGTCTGCCGGTGAACTCGTGGCGGTGGTCTTCTTGTTCTGAGCGCCCCTCGAGATGCAGTCCTCCTTCGGCGGCACCGTGTCGACTTCGCTCGTGGCGTTGTCGTCCTCAAACTTTTCCGTGATGCTCTTCTTGAACCCGCGACTAAACTGACGATCCGCATCTTGTTGGAACTGGTGGATGTTCCGCAGGTCGCTGAGCTGAGTTTCCGAGAGACTCACTTCAAAGTTTGGCTCCTTTAGTCCGTGGGAGTGTTGTCTGACGCTCGACTCCGGCTCCTCTCTACTGGACGGCGGGGCATCTTCGACGACACCAGCGGTGTCGTCTCCTACGCCGATCACGCTGAGAGGAGTGCTCGCCTCGGCCCGGGAATGGTCCACGGAGCCTCGGTTAACTCTCATGAGAAATTTGCCGAGCTTGCCGGCCTGTTCGGGACGAGCCCCGTCGCTCTGGTCTTCTGCTAAAGGTTGAGTGTTATCTGGGGGGAAGTCCAGGTCGTCATTCTGCGGACCGGACTCGACAACGCCACTCCCGCCGTACGTATTTGCCGTGTTATTAGAAGTACTACTGATGCCATTATCTGCTGCGCTACACACCGTGCCGCTCAACGAACTGCCACCACTCTCCGTAGTAGCGGCCACAGCGAGAGTACCGGACCCGACGACGGCCGAGTCCGGTGGGGGCTGAGCGGGCCCTAACTCGGGAGTGTGAGGCGGCGCTTCTGTCAGCCCAGGGCTAACTGCAGGGACGAGCAGCGCTGAAATCTTTGACTTGCCGTCGCTCAAAAGCTTCTGGGAAGAAACATGGTGCTGTAACGACTCTCCCAAGCCTTCCAAACTAGAACTTTCCGACACCGCCGGAATGTTGCCGGGTCCCGACGACACGGATTCCGACAGCGGAGGAATGTTGATCTCGGCCTGCGGGAAGACCGGATCTGGGGCGTCGTCCAGAACGGGATCGGGCGAGTCGTCCACCACGATGAGACTGTCGTCCGGGGAATTCTCCTGGCATTGTTTATGTTCTTTATCTATATCTTTCTTAACGGTGTTGTCGGCACTTAACACCGTGTGTCTCTCGGGTACACCGTGGCACTGCTGGTAGTACTGTGCCGACGGATAGTCCGGTGGATGTCTCTGCAGACGATCCAACAGAGGCGACTGTGGGAATCGTCCTCGTAGCAAGAACTGGTTCATGTGAGGATGGTACATGTGGCTCAGATTCTGACTCGCTCTAATGTGTGCAACTATTTGGTTCTGCACTTCCGGCGGCCACCTCCTCATCTCCGACGGTACTTGTCTGCTCATGTGAGCCAGTAGACCAATTTCCCGAGGCATTTCCCTCAGTTCTTGGGTGGGGAACCTCCAGAAGCGGCGGCCATCATCCTCCTTACCAACATTCTGGGAAGACTCTTCATTCATGGGTAAATGAGACCTGGGGTTAGACTGTGTCACGTACGAAACAGAATGCTGATGGCTAACTTCCGTAGAGGTCATGAGAGGCGGAGGCCCCACTTTGGACGGAGGCAACCCGGCCTCTCTCAAGAAGGGACGATCTTTATACGCCTGATGCTCGCCGGCTCTGCCTCCAATCTCTTGTCTGTGTTTAATAGGATAAAGCGGGTAGTTCATGAGGTGTGTCGGAAGAGAGGCGACGCCCGGCGTGCTCGGCGGAGCCATCGTCTGCAGCCCCCGTTCCTCGGCGGGAGGACTCGCGCCGCAGGTTTTGGTCGCCGCCGAGCCGGAGGTTCCTCTCAGACAAGAAGCGGCTTGTGACGGAGTGGACGTTCCCTGGTACTGCACGTCCGAGTCCGTGGAATCCTCGGTGGTTATTGTGATCGATCTCTTACGGAAAGGAACGCGTTCGTCTCGCGCGGACACTTCCTGAATCGGCACGGGAAGAGAAAACGGGTAATGGTGAGACAGGTGCTGTAGAGAAGAGTCGCGAAACACCTGGCCATCGGAGTGAACGCCAGACTTCTTCATGAGACTCTCGTTAATAGCAGCGGACAGACTACCGGTGCTGCTCGTGCCGGCTTTTTGAATCACTAAAGATAATGGAGATGTCTGCTGAGTCTGTAGGTCCAGGTATGGTGAAGATGTAGGAACTTTGAAGTTGTTGGGAGTACTCTCCGTCGATGACCAATCTGCTCTACTCTTTGAATTACTCGACAGTGACGGAGATTCTCTGATTCGTCGAATGTGGCCCACCGGGGTCGGAGGCAGTCGAGCGTCTAAATCGCCGCCAGATGATAGTCGGCTGGACAGCGGATGTTGTAACTCAACCCCGATGGATCCGAGAGAGTCCACGGACTGCGTGTCGTTGTCGGACACGGGGCTGGGACCCACGGTGTCGGCCTGCAAGCCCCTGGCCTGTGTGACGAGTACAGTCGGCGGCACGGCTACGACCATTCTCATCGCTGACAACCCGGAGTGTTCAAAAGCTCCAGGACGGGGTATTAATACTGACTGGTAGCTTCCGGAGCTAGACACAGGCGGATAAGCCTCAAACCTGTTGGGCTGGGGATTTGAAGAAACGTCTGGACTGCTACTTCCCATGACTCCCTGATCAGTCTTTACATCATGACTGGCTGCCTTGGAATCTTTCTCTATATCAGAATCTTCTGAAAAATGTGCAGTGTTTTTTCTCCAGGAAATCAACTGCTTCTTGAAATGAGGTATCCTGTGTGGGGTCTGCTGTGGTGGACGTTCAATCGGACCACTTCTGTCCAACTCAGGTGCTGCAGCAGCTGACTGTGGCATGAGGCTGCTGTGTGACACCAGGGGTGCTGCAGCAACTGACTGTGGCATGAGGCTGCTGTGTGACACCTGGGGTGCTGCAGCAGCTGACTGTTGCATGAGGCTGCTGTGTGACACCTGGGGTGCTGCAGCAGCTGACTGCGACATGAGGCTGCTGTGTGACACCTGGGGTGCTGCAGCAGCTAACTGTGGCATGAGGCTGCTGTGTGACACCTGGGGTGCTGCAGCAGCTGACTGTGGCATGAGGCTGCTGTGTGACACCTGGGTTGCTGCAGCAGCTGACTGTGACATGAGGCTGCTGTGTGACACCTGGGGTGCTGCAGCAACTGACTGTGGCATGAGGTTGCTGTGTGACACCTGGGGTGCTGCAGCAGCTGACTGTGGCATGAGGCTGCTGTGTGACACCTGGGGTGCTGCAGCAGCTAACTGTAGCATGAGGCTGCTGTGGTGTGACACCTGAGGTGCTGCAGCAGCTGACTGTGGCATGAGGCTGCTGTGGTGTGACACCTGAGGTGCTGCAGCAGCTGATGGCATGAGGCTGCTGTGTGACACCTGGGTGCTGCAGCAGCTGACTGTGGCATGAGGCTGCTGTGACACCTGTGCAGCAGCTGACTGTGGCATGAGGCTGCTGTGTGACACCTGGCATGAGGCTGCTGTGTGACACCTGGGGTGCTGCAGCAGCACTGTGGCATGAGGCTGCTGTGTGACACCTGGGTGCCGCAGCAGCTGACTGTGGCATGAGGCTGCTGTGGTGTGACACCTGAGGTGCTGCAGCAGCTGACTGTGGCATGAGGCTGCTGTGTGACACCTGGGTTGCTGCAGCAGCTGACTGTGGCATGAGGCTGCTATGGTGTGACACCTGAGGTGCTGCAGCAGCTGACTGTGGCATGAGGCTGCTGTGTGACACCTGGGGTGCTGCAGCAGCTGACTGTGGCATGAGGCTGCTGTGTGACACCTGGGGTGCTGCCAATTGACTATGAGCCTTCTCACTCTCTAGCAATGCAGGGTTTGTTTCTACAAACCTTGAGTGATCGTGGAAACTGGTGACCGGGTGAGCACCGACAGGAACAGACTTATAAATTGGAACAGATAAATGGTGCATGAAACCTTCAAGTGTACTGTTGGCCATGTTACTGTGTGACTTGGAGGATAATGATGACATGGTGAGAGCAGGAGGAGAGAGTTGCCCTCTCACTGTTGTACCAGACACGGTAAAACACTGAGGAGTGACTCCAGAGGCATTTGTTGTTGTGACTACGGGAATCACAGTGGCCATGACAGACGGTGACATGACTGTTGGTGAAACTGTAGCAGATGGTGACATCCTTGACATGACTGTTGGTGAAACTGTAGCAGATGGTGACATCCTTGACATGACTGTTGGTGAAACTGTAGCAGATGGTGACATCCTTGACATGACTGTTGGTGAAACTGTAGCAGATGGTGACATCCTTGACATGACTGTTGGTGAAACTGTAGCAGATGGTGACATCCTTGACATGACTGTTGGGCTCACTGTAACAGACGATGACATCCTTGACATGACTGTTGGGCTGACTGTAACAGACGATGACATCCTTGACATGACTGTTGGTGAAACTGTTACAGATGGTAACATTTTGGACATGAGAGCTGGAGTCATCACAACACCTATTGTAACCCCAGATGTGACTGTTACAGGAGGTGACATCCCAGACAAAACTGTTGGACTGGCTGTAACAGATGGTGTCATTCTGGACATAACTGTTGGACTGACTGTAAGAGATGGTGTCATTCTGGACAAAACTGTTGGACTGGCTGTAACAGATGGTGTCATTCTGGACATAACTGTTGGACTGACTGTAACAGATGGTGTCATTCTGGACATAACTGTTGGACTGACTGTAACAGAGGGTGTCATTCTGGACATAACTGTTGGACTGGCTGTAACAGATGGTGTCATTCTGGACATAACTGTTGGACTGGCTGTAACAGATGGTGTCATTCTGGACATAACTGTTGGACTGGCTGTAACAGATGGTGTCATTCTGGACATAACTGTTGGACTGGCTGTAACAGAGGGTGTCATTCTGGACATAACTGTTGGACTGGCTGTAACAGAGGGTGTCATTCTGGACATAACTGTTGGACTGGCTGTAACAGAGGGTGTCATTCTGGACATAACTGTTGGACTGGCTGTAACAGAGGGTGTCATTCCAGATGTGAGTGGAGAAACTACATTCCTTGCTTTCGTTGGTAAACTTACAATGGCATAGTGTTGACCAGAGATGAGTGAGGGCAGTGTTTGGGGCCTCTTAAAACTTACATTACCCTGCGATGCCAGACCCGAGGGTGACAGGGTGTGTACTGGTGAGACACAAGTGCTGATGGTTGTTGGAGTCGTGTTTGGTGCTGTCAGGGAGGTCGGTGTCGCAGGGTGATTGGCGACGCCGACGTGGGTTGGTGCCGGTGTAGTGGATGTGGTGTGAAACGGTGATGTGGCCTTTAGATGGGACACGGTGGATCCGGTAAAACCAACGTCCGAGCGAGACCCCATAAATGACTCGGGCACGACGGAACTCGAAGCGACGATCCGAACGTCTCCAAAAGACGAGGATGCCGACGCCTCCGCGGCCACGGGCGATGCGGCAGTCGCCGTCCCGCGAGAATATGCCGACGACTCCGTCAGCTCGGGTAAGTGTGCAGTTTCTGCCGACACTATCTGTGCCATCGCCTCCACAGACAAGTCATGTACTTTAATATTTGAGACACTGATTGGTATCATGGTGGTGCTTGTCATTCCAGTACCTCCAGATACTGCAAGATTTGTGTCATCTTTAGATGCCGAGTTTAAGAGCGTCGGCGACGACAGAAGCGACAAATTTGTTTTAGGAGAAGCGTGTGTCAGAGCAGCCGCTGGGTAGAGCGGCGATGAAGACACCGGGGTCGTGGATCCCACCGAGGACACCGGTGGGAATATATTCACAAATGAAGTTGGTACAGTCGACGATGAACCGGGCATTGTGACGTTCATCGTGGGTCCGGGAGATGCACTCACTCCCAGAGATGAATTAATAACAGACGCGAGTAGAGACTCTTTGTCCACATTGAAGGTCTGTGGCACGCCGGAGGGAGCCACGGGGGACCGGAGCGCCGCCGGCAGTAGGGACGCGGCGGATGTTTCCGGCAGAGTTTCTTTCGTCTGCGATGTTATGTCATTGGAAGTGTCGGTGAAGAAGGGGTTTGTTGAAGAGAAGTTTGGAGTTCCCCAAGGCCTTGCTATGTGATCCGACGTGCTCGTCCCGCTCAACAGGCCCTTCAAGACGGGCGACGAGTACGACGGGGCCACTCCGTCGTGGGGTAAACGGGCGACGTCGACCACGGCCGAGTCTTTGAGCGCTTCAGTTTTTGTCAATTTTTCCAAGACGTTTGATGATGAGTTTGTGGTCTCCTCACCTCCTGCTGCATCATCCCTTTTCTCCTTATCTTTCTTTTCACTGTCTTGTTCATTCTGTGCATCCTTCTCCATCTCCTGTTCAAACAAGGCTTCCATGGCCATCAAGACCGGAGGTAACTGTGAAGGCCGGTGCGTATCGGTGCTCTCTTCCTCGTTATCGCCCGACGGCTGTTCGCGGCTCTGCACGGCGGGAGTCGTCCCCGTCGCGTCGTAATCCGCGAGTCCGGGGTTCACGGAGGGTTCGCCGGTACGGCAACCGTCCGAAAGAGTAATGTCGTTCTGCCGGGCGTCGAGATTCTCGCCGTCTTCTATGTCCAAGGCGGCGTCCGTCTGTTCCCCCAGAGGTAAACCGAAGTCTTGATTGCTCAACTCCTCGACTATCTCCGCTAACATTTTGTTGGCGGGTTTATCCGCCCCCTGAAAATCTTCGGTTGTATCAAGAAGGGAGGATTGGAAAGCCTGCTGAACCATATCTAAAGTTCCTTCACGGCTGCCCGTCGCTGGATCGTTGACCGCGACTCTCGCTATTGTTTGGTACGCGTCACACGGTGAAGTGGGCCGGGCTTCACTCCCTCCATTGTCAATACCTTTGCCTATAGATGTAATAGGTACAGTATACTCAAGTCCAGCAATATTTGTGTTAATAACGCCGGGTCCCGTGGGGCCTGCCGAGCTCTGTGAGAACGGGATGGTTATTTTGGGCGATGTTCTGGATGCATCGAGGATCAGGTTTGTGACGGCGCATCGGTCGGCTCCGTCGAGGTTTGGGGCGGCCGCCGTCGTCGCATTCTGAGTGGACTGATTATCTGCCTGAGAAACGACCGGTGCTATCACCAGAGGCAAGGAGAGCGGCTGACCGGCGAGGGTTGTGGGAATTGTGTGTGGGATGCTGATCTGAACTGGCCCATGAATCTGAGGCATCAGTATCATTTGAGGCAGACCCGTCACTTCCTGTGGAAATGAAGTCTGAGGAAGGGTGAAGTTGGTCTGCACCCCGTCTAAGATGGAACCGGCCGGCAGCGGTTGGCCGACGCTCGAGAACAATATGGGGGCGGGTTCTGCTGCTGCGCCCGCGATTCCCCGAGCCACGTCTTGATTATTACACGGGGGGGCGGCCCGGGGCCGAAGTAAGTCAGTGGACGCAGCCTGGATCATCTGCGGCTGAAGTTGAGACATGCCGCTCAGATACATAGAGTTCTGCAACTGGACACAAGGAGACGCCGTCTTGGCCGAGGATTCCATACGGTTTGGCCTGGACAAAGTGGCTTTCAAAATACTCGGAGACTGAGTCGCCCGTGCGGAGAAGGCGGCGGCGTCGGGGACATCTGTCGTAAGAGACGCCACTAATGGCGTCAGCTGTCCGCTGGAGATGTTACCCATGGTGGAAATATTATTAGGTGGTGTTAATGAGTAAATGGTTTCTGTGGAGGAAAGTTGTGAGATGGTAGTTGGGTTTACAGGAACAGACTGTGAGAGAGGAGTCAGATGTGACCATACAGAGGGAGAGGATTTAGGAAGAATATCGACTGGGTCACCGACAGCGGTCACCATGGGTAGCGTCTCGTGATGAAAACTGTCGGTAACTTTCAGAGGTTCGTCATTCCCGCTCAAGATGCTAATGGCGTTTACCCGCGACGTCGGCAGACCGACGGAAACGGTCGTCGTAACCGCCGGCACCGAGACGGTCGAGTGCGTCGTAACCGTCGCCCGGTCTACGGAGAAACCCCGAGAGCAGGCGGGTAAATCCACCCGAGCGAGCGGTGCCGGAGAGGAGAGACCACCACCGCCCACGGACAGATGGGAGTGAGGCCCATCAGATAACTGGGGCACTGGACTGGGTTGAGGACACACAACTGCAGGTACAACTGGGCTGGAGTGAGGACCAGCACCTACACCCAGCTGGGGATGAGGACCTGGGCTGAGATGTGAACCAGAGCATGAAGACATCTGGGACTGAGATATGGGACTGGGGTGGAAACCAATACCTGCTGACACTTGGGCTTGTCCCAGAGGGCTGGCATGTGACCCAGAACTTGAGAACATCTGAGGCTGACTGGGATGGGGACCAACACCAGTTGATATCTGGCTATGTCCCACAGGACTGGGATGGGGACCAACACCAGTTGATATCTGGCTATGTCCCACAGGACTGGGATGGGGACCAACACCAGTTGATATCTGGCTATGTCCCACAGGACTGGGATGGGGACCAACACCAGTTGATATCTGGCTATGTCCCACAGGACTGGGATGGGGACCAACACCAGTTGATATCTGGCTATGTCCCACAGGACTGGGATGGGGACCAACACCAGTTGATATCTGGCTATGTCCCACAGGACTGGGATGGGGACCAACACCAGTTGATATCTGGCTATGTCCCACAGGACTGGGATGGGGACCAACACCAGTTGATATCTGGCTATGTCCCACAGGACTGGGATGGGGACCAACACCAGTTGATATCTGGCTATGTCCCACAGGACTGGGATGGGGACCAACACCAGTTGATATCTGGCTATGTCCCACAGGACTGGGATGGGGACCAACACTATCTGACATGTGTGACTGATGCATGGGGCTGGAATGTGAGTCAACACTTGCAGGCAACTGGGGGCTGGATTGAAGACCCATCCCATCAGACATCTGTGATAGTGGACTAAATATACTGTGTTGGGGCTTAGTGTGGTCATAATGACTCTGAAGAATTGGTGAATCAACTGCCTTAATCTCTGAATCACTGACGTGTGGACAGAACATGGAGGGAGAGGAAACGGCATTACCATTACTAGAAACGCTGGCCACTGGGTCGTCGGCCATACTTGGCGCTGTTTCGGCCGAAAACTCGACGGCGGACGAGACGACGGGAGTCTCTACGTCTGAAAGGACCGTTGGAGACGCAGGACTAAAAGAGGGGCCGCTGTCACCAAAGGGCTGTAATTTGCCTGCGGGAGTTTTAGCTTCGGGCGAGACCGGCTCGTTCGTCAGGCCGGAAACAACCGAGGCGGTCATTCCCGAAGAAAGACTCGGACACGGGCTGTGAGGCGCGTGTTGTGGCGTCTGTGGCATGGGGCTCATCAGAGGCCCGGGAACCGACGGTAACACCGGCATGGGGCTGTACGCTCCTCCGTCATAACTCGCGTCGTTGAGGGGACTCGCTAGAGAAGTAGAGTCCGTGGGAGAGTGAGGCTTCTCAGTGTGTGTTAAGGCTTGAGGAGGTTGATAGTCTTGGCGGGGAGTCAAGTGAGACTGTATTGGCGTCAGAGGAGGAGGTAGAGGAGTAAAGGGGTTCTGAAGAGGCGTCTGTATAGGCGTCAGAGGTGCCGGCAGCGGCGTCAAAGAAGCTAAGGGCGGCGTCACGGGAGTCTGTGGCTGACTGACGTTTGCTGGAGTTTGAGAAGTGTGTCCTGGTGTGTAAGAAGGTTGGGAGGGAGTATGAGGAAAGTGAAGGGGCGTCTGTGGTGTGTGTGTTGGCGTCTGAGGGGTGTGAGCATTAGGCGTGAAGGGCATGTAAACCAGAGTGGACTGTTGAGCATAAGACTTGGACAAGTACGACGGCGTCTGAGGCAACGGGCTCATCAGGGGACCGGGAGCAGAGGGTAATGCAGGAAGAGGACTCATTCCCCCGTTTTCCTCGTTCTCGTTTCCTGCGTGTCGAGGCGTCTGCGGCATGGGACTAACGAGGGGTCCTACCGAAGGATACACCGGCATGGGACTCCACACCGGATGCCGAGGGAAATCGTCGGCCTCACAATATTCGGGCTCTGGAGGGATCGGACTTTTGGCCGGTTCGACAGAAGTCTGTCTTAAATTACTTCCCAGACTCTTAGGGAGCTGCGCCGGTGGCATCTGAGGCACGTGAGCCGGCGTCTGTGGCATGGGACTCATGACGGGGCCCACGGAGAAGTGGTCGGTAGCCTCCCGAAGCCTGCGGTACCGACTCTCGTGAGACGACTGCGGATGGTCTTCGGCGTCGGTCATTCCTAGAGGCGTGGCGGGCATGGGACTCAACAGGCTCCCCATCATTGAGAAGCTCTCTCCCATACTGTGTGTTGGAGTGTTGGCAAGTGGACTGACCATCGGCCCTATTGAGGGAAACACGGGCATGGGACTCACCAGACACGGAGACGTCTCTCGTCCCGGAGTGGGAGGGATGGGACTCATCATGGGCCCGGGAGCCGAGGGCAACATGAATGACGAACTGGATGGAGTTATGGATCCCGACAGACTGACAGACGGTTCGACCGGACTGAGAGGTTGTAACCGGGGCGTGACGTCCTCCTGCGACTGGTGACGTGGGGTAGGGGCCATGGGACTCATAGGCGGCTGTATTGTATCCAAAGTGGGCAGAGTCATGGCACTGTTGTCTGACATGGGGCACGGGTCATCGCGGTGGGCAGCGGGGGTGCACGGCATCGGACTCATTAGAGGTAAGGACGTGTCCATCAGGGGGAAGTCCAAGTCGTCTTCATAATTCTCTCGTCGTCTGTTCGCCGCTGGATTCTTCAACTCAAATTTCTTGTTCATTTTCTTGGGTTCTTCTGCTCTCCCAAAATTTGACGGCCCTCGAGAATCTTCGTTGGTACGCGTCTCCTCGCTGCCTCTGCCTTTACAGAAGGTGGATTCTAAAGTGGGAATGGACTTCAAAGTTTTCTGTCTTAAGGCTTGTTGTTCCGGTGGAAATTTGCGTTGATCGGCCGACCTGTTTCCAAAAGGCCTCGAGTACCTCCCTTGGCTCGGGACCCCGGACGGTCTCGACTGACCTCCCGGTGGGGGGGGCCACTTTTCTGACTGAGAATTACTTTGATTTGATTGTTGGAATTGAGGTCTGTTTCTTGGTGGATACAGAGGGTGACTCTCGGCCTTATGAGGTCTCTGTTCCCCCGAGTTAGAGACGCCGCTACTGTGTGGGTATTTCCCCGACGACGACTGCTGGGATCTTGCACCGTGAAGCGACCGCAACCTGTCGTCATGAGGCGGCTGCTGCGGTCTGTTTCCTGAGGAGGCATTATGCTGATTTTCATGTGAAGACTGAGACTGATTATCTAGATGAGATTGATGTGGTTGGTAGCTGGGGGAAGTCTGAGCTCGATTTCCCGGCGAGGACTGCGGTCGGTTTCTGGTCGAAAACTGTGGCCGACTTTTGGGCGAAGATTGAGACTGATTTCCAACTGAAGAATGATTGCCACTTCTATGTTGTTGATAGCCTTGACTGCCGTACTGGTTGCCTCGGTTTCCGGGAGACATTTGGGATCTGTTTCTCGGCAGTGATTGAGACCGACCTTCTGCCGGTAATCTGTTCCTGTTTGGTGACTGGTGACGACTGCCGGGCTGAGACGTCGATTGCACGTTGTCGGTCTTAGGGTACATGGTATCTGGTCTGGGAGGTTGACATGGCAGCCTGTTGACCCCTGTTCTCTGAGGTCCCACCGGTCTTGGTGTGTGGTATGACGGTTTGTTTACTTTTGGCCCTCTGTCGGGAGACGACCGTGCAGAGGTAGCCGTGGGAACCGTTCTTCTCCCAAACTCCTCTCTCCCGGGGTCTTTATGTCCCTGGTCCAAGCGATGGGGCGGCTGTGAGGGTCTTACAATATGCCGCCCTCTGACACTCCCTCTTTGGCCGCTGAATGAGTCACTGCCGTTATTGGTATTGCACAAAGCTGAAGTTGATGACTGGCCTGTCCCTACGCCATAGCCCTTCGATACATTAGACCTCCTCTGCTCATAAGCATTCTCTGACTTCCACAATGTACTGTCTCCTTGAGGACCATCCCTGTGTGTTGCCTGGCTGTGGGGAACATCCCTGTGTGTTGCCTGGCTGTGGGGACCATCCCTGTGTGTTGCCTGGCTGTGGGGACCATCCCTGTGTGTTGCCTGGCTGTGGGGACCATCCCTGTGTGTTGCCTGGCTGTGGGGACCATCCCTGTGTGTTGCCTGGCTGTGGGGACCATCCCTGTGTGTTGCCTGGCTGTGGGGAACATCTCTGTGGGCTGCCTGGCTGTGGGGAACATCTCTGTGGGCTGCCTGACTGTGGGGAACATCTCTGTGGGCTGCCTGGCTGTGGGAAACATCTCTGTGGGCTGCTTGGTTGTGGGGAACATCTCTGTGGGCTGCTGGCTGTGGGGAACAACCCTGTGTGTTGCCTGGCTGTGGGGACCATCTCTGTGGGTTGCCTGGCTGTGGGGAACAACCCTGTGTGTTGCCTGGCTGTGGGGAACATCTCTGTGGGCTGCTTGGTTGTGGGGAACATCTCTGTGGGCTGCCTGGCTGTGGGGAACAACCCTGTGTGTTGCCTGGCTGTGGGGAACATCTCTGTGGGCCGTCTGTTCTACTCTCCTATCGCACTTCGGTCTTCTACCTTGGTTCTTTGTTCCAAATTGACTTCTGACCAGAGCCTCGCGGTCTGCTGGATCCTTCGCATCACTTCTATGATCTCCGAGCTTCAACCTCGCCTGACTGTGCAAGGCAGGAGCTTCTCCGGGAGACGGAGACGAGTGAACGTTTCTAAGACCTTCCTTTGGTCTATTTACTTCCTTTTTGTACTTTTCATTTTGTCTTTGGTTTAATTCAGTGGATGATAAACCTCTTTTACTATTAAAGGAGTCTCTGCCACTCACACCACCTTTATCTCTCTCTGTTTTGTGTTGGGAGGTTAATGTTCTGTTTCTGGACGTCTCTCTCCAGGTCCGGTGATCTCCGGCGGGCGACGCGCACTCTCCGCCCGACCCGGTCTCCGGCGTCCGGGAGGAGTAAGCGGGTCTCGGCAACAACAGAGAACTGCCCGTCGTGTCCTCGGGCCGAGGCAGTCGACCCATCCCCGACGAGTGGGGCGACTCCTTGTCTGAAGTCTGGGGCGTGGAGGTCGAGGAACCGCCGCCCGGGGTTCTGGGTCGCTCCAGTGGTGTGTGGGGCATGAAGTCTGTGTCAAACACCGACTCAAACTGCTGATACATGGGTCTACTGCGCTGCTCACCAGAGAGAATATCTTGCACTTGGTGACTGCCCCCCGGAGTAACGGGTCTCTCGGGGGGACTGTTCAGGTCAAAGTCAAAGAAACAGTCGTGGACCCGCTGCTTTTTATTGTGTATTTGTGACCCATCTTTGGGAGGAGTATTAAAGGAGTGATCGCCGCCGACCTCTCGGCCGGGAGTCTGGGGACGATCGGGAGTATTATTTTCGTAGTCAGAGTCGAAGCTGTCGCCCGTCGGCTCCACGGCCAGAGATTTCATCTTGTCTACCACGGGTTCGACGGGCGATGCCGGAGGAGAGAAAGAGCCAAACAGTATGGCAATTTTCTTGCGAGATTTCTTTTTGGAACTTCCGGAACTGCCGTCGGTCGCCTGACTAGTGTCGCTGGATGACGGGGAAGGTTTACTCGCGCTGTGCTTGGAGTTGCTGCTCTTGGCTTCCTTTTTCCCACCACTTGAGGTGGAAGCCTCTTCTTGTACGCGCCACGATTCCTTCAGTGGATTCCCCGGGGTCGGCGGACAATCGAGGTCGTGGTACCAGTCCGAGTTGTCCACGTCGGATAATTTTCTCCGCTGTACGGAGGGATGCACCGCCTTGGTAGTGGCCGACATGCCCGGCCGTGGAGGTCTCGGTGCCGGGGCCGGACTAGGAGACCGGTCGTGAGCCGGCAGAAAGCTTCCGGGAGTGTGGGGGGTGAGATCGTAGTCGACGTCGAAGGGGTCAGTCTCCGTGGCATCGGCACGGGCACTTCTTCTGGGCGGGGGGGCGTCCGGGACCCCTCCATCATGCCTGTGGGCCGTTCTCTGAGGGGCGCTGCGCACCTCACCGCCTCTCACAAACGACGAGGCCCTCGACTGGTAAGTGCTCGTTGATCTGCCCGAATTATTTCTTGATGACTGAGTACCTGAACTAGAGCCACTTACCTGTTTTGGTCCAACTTTTGTCTCGCTGGTTAATGCTTCGTGTTGCGCCTCAGATCTGGAAGGAAACAATTATACCTAAACAAACACATTGTTTACAAAACACCAAATTCAATCACAGAAGCCTTCTTAAACCTGTAAGGTACATTACCTACACTGTAAGAAGGTACACTATTTACACTGTAAGAAGGTACATTACCTACACTGTAAGAAGGTACATTACCTACACTGTAAGAAGGTACATTACCTACACTGTAAGAAGGGCACATTACCTACACTGTAAGAAGGACATTACCTACACTGTAAGAAGGTACACTATTTACACTGTAAGAAGGCATCATATAAAGAAGGAATTTCACACTGTGAAGGTACATTACCACACTGTAAGAAGGTACCCTGTAAGTTAATGTAGACTTACACTGTAAGAAGGTACACTATTTACACTGTAAGAAGGTACATTACTTACACTGTAAGAAGATTACACACTGAAGAAGGTACATTACCTACACTGTAAGAAGGTACATTATTTACACTGTAAGAAGGATACATTATTTACACTGTAAGAAGGTGCACATTACCCACACTGTAAGAAGGCACATTACCTACACTGTAAGAAGGTACATTACTTACACTGTAAGAAGGTACATTACTTACACTGTAAGAAGGCATATTACCTACACTGTAAGAAGGTACATTACCTACACTGTAAGAAGGTACATTACTACACTGTAAGAAGGTACATTACTTACACTGTAAGAAGGTACATATTTACACTAGGTAATATTACACTGTAAGAAGGTACTATTTACACTGTAAGAAGGCATTATACACTGTAGAACATTAACACTGTAAGAAGGTACATTACTTACACTGTAAGAAGGTACACACTGTGAAGGACATTACACTGTAAGAAGGTACATTATTTACACTGTAAGAAGGTACATTACTTACACTGTAAGAAGGTACATTATTACACTGTAAGAAGGTACACTATTTACACTGTAAGAAGGTACATTACCTACACTGTAAGAAGGTACATTACCTACACTGTAAGAAGGTACATTACCTACACTGTAAGAAGGTACATTATTTACACTGTAAGAAGGTACACTATTTACACTGTAAGAAGGTACACTATTTACACTGTAAGAAGGTACATTACCTACACTGTAAGAAGGTACACTATTTACACTGTAAGAAGGTACACTATTTACACTGTAAGAAGGTACATTACCTACACTGTAAGAAGGTACATTACCTACACTGTAAGAAGGTACATTATTTACACTGTAAGAAGGTACACTATTTACACTGGGCATACCTACACTGGGTTTACTGGTCATTTACATGTACATTACCCACACTGTGAGAAGGTATTTACACTGTAAGAAGGTACACTATTTACACTGTAAGAAGGCACATTACCTACACTGTAAGAAGGTACATTACTTACACTGTAAGAAGGTACATTATTTACACTGTAAGAAGGTACATATTTACACTGTAAGTCACTATTTACACTGTAAGAAGGTACATTACCTACACTGTAAGAAGGTACATTATTTACACTGTAAGAAGGTACACTATTTACACTGTAAGAAGGTACATTACCTACACTGTAAGAAGGTACACTATTTACACTGTAAGAAGGTACACTATTTACACTGTAAGAAGGTACACTATTTACACTGTAAGAAGGTACACTATTTACACTGTAAGAAGGTACATTATTTACACTGTAAGAAGGTACATTATTTACACTGTAAGAAGGTACATTACCTACACTGTAAGAAGGTACACTATTTACACTGTAAGAAGGTGCATATTACCCACACTGTAAGAAGGTACATTACTTACACTGTAAGAAGTGCACATTATTTACACTGCAAGAAGGTACACACTACACTGTAAGAGGCCCTATTTACACTGTAAGAAGGTACATTATTTACACTGTAAGAAGGTACATTACCTACACTGTAAGAAGGTACACTATTTACACTGTAAGAAGGTACATTATTTACACTGTGAGAAGGTACACTATTTACACTGTAAGAAGGTACATTATTTACACTGTAAGAAGGTACATTATTTACACTGTAAGAAGGTACATTACCTACACTGTAAGAAGGTACACTATTTACACTGTAAGAAGGTACATTACCTACACTGTAAGAAGGTACATTACCTACACTGTAAGAAGGTACACTATTTACACTGTAAGAAGGTACACTATTTACACTGTAAGAAGGTACATTACCTACACTGTAAGAAGGTACATTACCTACACTGTAAGAAGGTACATTATTTACACTGTAAGAAGGTACACTATTTACACTGTAAGAAGGTACATTACCTACACTGTAAGAAGGTACATTACCTACACTGTAAGAAGGTACATTACCTACACTGTAAGAAGGTACATTACTGTATGTAAGAAGGTACACTATTTACACTGTAAAGAAGGTACACTATTTACACTGTAAGAAGGTACATTACCTACACTGTAAGAAGGCACATTACCTACACTGTGAGGGTACATTATTTACACTGTAAGAAGGTACACTATTTACACTGTAAGAAGGTACATTACCTACACTGTAAGAAGGTACACTATTTACACTGTAAGAAGGTACACTATTTACACTGAAGAAGTTACATTACCTACACTGTAAGTACATTATTTACACTGTAAGAAGGTATACTATACACTGTAAGAAGGTACATTACCTACACTGTAAGAAGGTACACTATTTCTAATTGTAAGAAGTTGCATAATTATTTACACTGTAAGAAGGTACACTATTTACACTGTAAGAAGGTACACTATTTACACTGTAAGAAGGCACATTATTTACACTGTAAGAAGGTACACCATACACTGTAAGAAGGCAATATTTACACTGTAAGAAGGTACATTACTTACACTGTAAGAAGGTACATTATTTACACTGTAAGAAGGTGCACTTATTTACACTGTAAGAAGGTACACTATTTACACTGTAAGAAGGTACATTACCTACACTGTAAGAAGGTACATTATTTACACTGTAAGAAGGTACACTATTTACACTTAAGAAGGTACATTACCTACACTGTAAGAAGGTACACTATTTACACTGTAAGAAGGTACATTATTTACACTGTGAGAAGGTACACTATTTACACTGTAAGAAGGCATTATTTTGGGTACATTATTTACACTGTAAGAAGGCACATTACTTACACTGTAAGAAGGTACATTATTTACACTGTAAGAAGGTACACTATTTACACTGTAAGAAGGCACATTATTTACACTGTAAGAAGGTACACTATTTACACTGTAAGAGCACATACACTGTAAGAAGGTACACTATTTACACTGTAAGAAGGCATTACTTACACTGTAAGAAGGTACACTATTTACACTGTAAGAAGGTACATTATTTACACTGAAGAAGGTACACTATTTACACTGTAAGAAGGTCACATTATTTA